TACCAAACAGCAGTATAAATTAAATGCAGGCACTCAAGGTTCACATTTAAGGGAATCAAATTGTTAAAGCTAATGGTAGAATTGATTCAATTTAATATTACTTGATGGTTCTCATAACAGTAGAGGGTAAGTTGCTACTGAAATGGTATATATACATTTTTATATGGGCATGTGGTAACTTACATGTCAAACCTTAAAATATGTTCTTCCATTGTCTCTCTAGGACAAGTTTTTATGTCAAGCTGCTTATATTCTTCATGCTTTGAGAAAAAGCAAGAAGCAGGGGACCAAGTCACTTATAACCAATGCAGAAAATAGTAATAGCTGCATTAAATTATATCCCACATTGGTTCCATCATTTCCGTCCAGCATTAACATCCCTGGCCATTGCTGCTGCTTATTAGAAGCACATTAACTGTGATACCCCATTCAGAAAGCCATTAGTATTTGCAAAGAATTACTTCAAAGGCATCTTCCTGACAGAGTAGTGCAACCGACCTCATACAAAACCATTGGCTTAGACTTCTTCATATATAAGTTCAGTTGCTTTCACTCTATCAGCCCCAAAATAAGATATGGGAAAATGACAACTCATACCACAGTTTTCTTTCTTTAAATGATCCATTTTAAGTTGCCGGGTAGAAAATAGAGGGTCTCTGCGTGAGCTGCTTCTAACATTTTCACTCTGGCCAAATAGTGAAACTAAAGCCTCCATACTCATGATACAGTGCTGACAAAGTGGCCCTTCAGTTCAGAGATTATTACTGTTTTTCATGAGTTTCTGAAACTATCTCCACTGATAGGGCTTGCTAAACATTAAAAAATAAAATGGAAAGGGAGGAGCTATGCACAAGCTCATTATGTACTTTAATGTTATTGCAGTGGGAACACGAAGGAATCAAAAAGCTTTTGCAACTCTGTTTAACTTGAGCATTGATGAAGGTAGCCTCCTCTGTTTTAATGATTAGAATGCACTTACCCTCTCCTGATTCTGTCAAGAAGGCTGCAGATATGGAACTATCCATGAAGGAGTAACTTGCATGCTCTCTGCAGTAATACTTGGTAAGTGGTAACCAGTTTCATCTTTCTTTTTTAATAGAAAAAAACCCTCAAATGTTTTTGTATTGTCATGTGCCTCATCATTGCTTTTTTTTTTTTTAAGCGGGAGGAAGAGGCAGCCTAAATAATGAAAAGTTGCAAGTGAATACAATAGCTCTCATCTTGTCATGCAGTGGCAAGAATTTTACTACTCAAAGGGGTACGTTTACCACATTCTGCTTTCTGATAGTTTGTTTTTTTAAAAATAAGGTGTAGTAAAATTCTTGCCTTTGCATAGAAATATGATACAAAAGGTGATTATAGAAAGTGAATTTATCACACATCTGGATCTGTTGTGTGGTACCCTCCTTACTATTTGGCAGGATACTGGTGATGAAGCTAAATTGGTCAGACACGCTTACCAACTACAGATGTGGTATAGTTGTCTCTATTGACACACACAAAATCTCAAGGAGAGGCTTATGACTTCCTAGCAAAGATCGCTTCTTCTTTAAGGGGGCTAGCCTTCGACTTGGTGAACCACAACTGATCAGCAAGCAGCTCCCAAGAGAACATTGCCCCCAAATCCTTCAGTGCTCCAAAATATTTATAAGAATGTAAAGAAAAGCCTGCTGGATCCGGACTTTGTCCCATCTAGTCCCTCATCCTGCTATCACAATGGCCAACCAGTTGCCTATCAGAGACCAGTAAGCTCGACCTGAGCACAGAAGTGCTCCCTTCCAGAGGTTTCCAGCAGCTGATATTCAGAAGGATAATGCCTCCAACTGCAAAGACAGAGCATAGCTATCATTTATAAGTGTCTGGTATTAAGTGCATTGAAAAATACATGTGTTGTTTCAACTGACAGTGGAAATAAAGAAGGATGTTATATTCAGACTTTTATTGTTCATGCTGCTTTGTGAATTTATTACTTTTTTTTTTCAATTTCCACTTGTGCTCCTGCCAGGAGATAGCTATTAGACAGTAAGCAGCAAGAGTAAAACGTTATCATTTTGTTTCAAACTATAAAATAATTTACATCACATAATTTTACTGTTGTGTGTTTTTTTTCTGGTTTTTTTTTTGAAACCACAAACATTCCAGCATCACACTGTAGGAATAACAATAGAAAGCATAACCTTTTGCATAGTATTAAATGAACAGAGACAGTAAGTTCTTTATTTACAATTATTGTCTAGATTTAAAAAATTCATAAAAACAGATGAATAAACATATAGGAATAATAACCCCTAGTGGGATGAATTGCCAAATGTACTGCTGTATTTTTTTCCACAAATCTCATGCTTTTAGGTACAGTACGCAGAGAGCAAGCATTTTATGTATTGCAGTGAATTTCAACATATAGACCATTTTGGTTTTTTGATCCATTCTTCCCATCATAGAGAGGCCAAGCAATTAAGAAAGGGAACAAGGTGCAAAGCTTGTAGTTGAAAAGCTGTTATCAGCTCATCTGTTTTCTCCCCCCCCCAGTCTGTTTATCATATACATACATATATATATGTATGTATATGGTTTCTGTTGACAGAATCCGAAGTTTCCTATGCATCACAGTTAATATATATGTTATATTGTCTTTTTCTTTCTTTTTAAACTATATATGTACAGAATGAAATATTGGTTTCTTTTTAACAGTTTTTCAAGTCTCAAATAGTACCCTACTAGTTATTAAGAATCTGTATTACAATGCGCACACACAGAAAATGAAATGAAAATCAAAAAAGTATCTGATGAAAATCAAGCTTGAAATAAAAGGCAAATCATCAATATTAAGATGTTAAGGGGCAAAATATTCCAGTGCCAACAATTTTGTAGTTTCTTCAGCCCAGAGCTACATGCTTTCCCCTGTAAATAGACTTTATTGTATTTCAAATATAGTATCCCAAGGAGATCATAGAACCTCAGTGTTACACAAAAGTTAGTTGCTGTTATTTACAATCCAGGGATAAACCCTGCCTAACTGTCAGTCAGTTTGATTTTAAGAATAAGCTGGTCAACTGGACTGTCATGCCAGCTTTGAGATTTAAGAAGCGGGTAACACTGTCTGTTGAGAAGAGGGTTGTGTAAGCCTGGGTAGGTTTGCTGTTCAGCCAGACGTTTGGATCAGAGTGAATTATGTAGAGCCAAAAGACATTAAAAGCTTCTTACGAAAGTCCAGAAGCTGGCAATTCAAGGTGGTTAGAACTTTACCTGGCAGAATAGTTCTGATATGCCCTCAAAACATTAGTCATCTGAAACTGTAGTTGGCCAGGAATCTCATCTTGTCTGAAGAGTTTCTGGCTTGCAATAGTTCTTCTGACTACAGTTGTTCCACCTTATTAGCCAACTTTAAAACAGCAGGCAATACAACAACATATAAAGTTTTCAAGCTAATTTAAAGGGCTTTCCCCCCAACTTTTCTGGCATAATTGATCATATTAATCAAAATGTCTTTTGCACTGTACAAGTTTATGGAAAAGATCATTTGCTGAAAAGTCTTGAAGCAAACCTTGTATTAAATACAAAAGTCATTTATGAAAAATCTGTGACCCACAAAGTGCTTTGCATTCAAGTGGTTGACATAGCAATTATATAAGCTTTTAAATTACCAGGGCTGTTACCATCTTGAAGAAAAAAGAAATCTCACCCAGAATATTGCAGTTGTTTACAATGGCTTTCAGTGTAGAAAGCACAATACAAGGGGAAAACAACATTAGTGGATTTGCTATAATATACTTTTGTGACTACAGGAAGACAAGCTTGGTTTAAAAATAATCACACAAAGCACATTTCAGTATACACTTCATAAAGTTTCATTCAGGTCTACATAGTGCAGAAATGATATTATTTTTCTTTTTAAATGTCAAAGCAACAAACCATAGTGGTTCTCATCCAAAATGCCAACAGCCCATATTTTTCAAGAAATAAATGACTAAATTTCTAATGGAATAGAACCCAGCACACAGTATTTAAACATTAGTTTGATCTTCATACAAAGCCAAATATAACTTATTTTTTAACTGATATTCAGAAACTCCACTGAGGTTTATTATAATCTTTAAAAAATATATGTTTAAGAAGCCATTGCAATACACTTAAATAATGAAATGGCCTCATCATTAAGTATTGCATCAAAATAAGGTCAAATAATTCATTAAAAAAGAGAGAGCAAAAAACCTGATCATTTAAATGTGTATTTAAAACAAAGGAAGCCTTTCTGTTTCATCACCCTCTATATAGGATCACAATGCTACATCCAATATATTATATTTTGGCTTCTTTTGTTATTTGCTAGCAATATCTACATTATTTAACAAAAAAAGAAAAACCTATCAGGCAAAAATCTGATCACAGTTGTAATAAAACATCCAGGGTGCCGTATTACAGAAATTTTCATTGAATTGAGCGATTTGAATATTATCTCGGCAGGAAGTGCTGTCTTAATCCTACAAATAGTTAAGGATATTATCTACAGTTCTGTAAACAAATTACATTCTTTATTTTTAGGACATAAATAAGTTAAAATATAGCAATTTGAGCAGAAAAAGGCAACATGCCAACAAAGAAACTTTATATATATATATCTATACCTATATCTGTATACAGATATAAATATATATATGGATATATACACATATATAATTATATTATGTATATATTTATATATTTCTATATATAGTCTCATAAATGCTTATTTTAGGTTCCTCTGTCCAACTGGTGCAAATCTACTGTGCAAGTTAAGCTTTGCAACTTCAAAAAAAAAATATTTAAATTAATCTATACAACTGAGTCCATGCCACACAAGCATTAAAAAACCCAAAAAAACTCACAGACCAGTGAATTGGATAAATAGCCTCAAAGAAGTCCTCTGCATTTCCTGCTTAAGGAATAAAAAGAAGGGAAGGTTGGAAGTGGGTAGTACATTCATGCAGGAGGGCATTTGTATTGTTTTTGTTTGTTTCTGCGGGGGGGGGGAGCAAGAGGGGAATATGTAAATCAGCCATATGTAAATCCCCCAAAACCATCGTGATCAGTGGTTCGTTCTGTCCCCCCCTCTCTCAAAGTGAACCGGAGTTCAAACAGCTTCTCAGCCAGCATTGTTTATACATATCTCTCTATGTATATATTTATATTAATATTTTTGCAGTGACATTTTCAGCTAAAGTGATGTCTCCAGGCTATGGATCGGGCTTCCTGGACTAGAAGAGGTAGCTGATTTACTTGTATCAGTTGTAAGGTTTATTCCACTGTCGATAGCACTATTGTTCTTGTTCAGTGAAGACGGTGGACTTGGGTTTTGCTTGAGTGCAGGGTCTTCTTCTAGTTCTGTGTCATCAATGAGAGGGATATGGGGCTGGGAATCTTCTATCCTAAATTCAGGATGAGTCATAAAGTTGTGAATGGAGGTTCTAGATTCTGGTTTTTCTAACCCTTCATAGAGAGAGCTACGGAATGCCTTCACGACGCGGATCTGAGAGGAGGGAAAAGATAGAAAAGATGTCAGTGGTAACTGCTTTTTCAAAACATCTCATGATGATTTACATTTTTTTGTTTTGGTGAAAAAAATGTGGCATATGGTTAGGGCAGAGCAGGCAGCTGTAGTCCATAGTCTCTGGATGCTAAATGCATAAACAAGTGGCTCAGTTTTGTGCATTTTACGTGTCTGAATCAACTGCAATGTTAAAACCATATGAGATTAAAGCCATCAGAACTGTTCGCAGAACTGATGGGAAGCATTGGTTAAAGAAAGCAAACATCCACTCATGTGATATTTCCCTAGTAAAAGACAAGCCATGTTAATCCAAATGCAAATGTAGAACCATGCATGTTGATAGTTTGCAGTGAATAATTAAGAAAGCTTTTAATTTATTCTTTAAAAAGTTTCATTTATATAGACAAAAAAAAAAAACCAACACAAAACAAATTGTATGTCTCAAACGAGAAAGCACAAAACATAGACACAGTTGGATGGATGGATAGGTATGAGAGACAAACATAGGAGCCAAATGTAAGAACAGAGCATAGGTTTTTGAAAAAAGCAAGATCTAAATGAAGCAGCCAAAAGCACACACGCACACGCACACGCACACGCACACACACACAAAGCCAAGCAGACAAAATACTTAGGCAAAAACATGCTATACAGGAAAAAGTCACAGTAATCACATAAACACAGCTAATTGGCACACAACAACTACACTTGGAAGCCTGGATAATGTGAACATGTAATTGTTGATACAACTTTTATTTTTTCTTCATGCATATGTGAGGTAAACACTCGAGTATAGACCCACTGTTCTAGCCATTTGTTTTTAAAATAACTTATTAATAAACAATTAAGACTAGAAAATTATATAGTGATTATTGGGTTTCATATAATTGAATTACAAAAGTCCGATTCCTTCATTTTCTGTGGCTCACTTATGAACATCATTCATAAAGTTAAGTGCATAAGGTGGTACATTTTTATGCCTCATCTGCAGTACTTGATGTCCATTTAGTTATGTCAAGATATTTTCTTGCCTTTCCATCACTAAGCCATAAGAACATGGGAAAGCCAGGTACTTAATAGAAGTAATGTTCGGATGGCCCACCAATTAATTATGCCTGCACTGAGCTGCAGGAGCAGCAGGATGCATTGCTGAGTCAGCAAAGGACAAATAGTTCTCCGTGACCAGAAACAGGAGAGCATTCTAGATTCCTTCCAGAAGTGGCTTGCCTGGTGGGCTCTTGCCAAAGCAGAGGCTTCTACTATATTATTAGTGAGAAAAGACAGGATTTCTTGAAGGAAAGAATTAGCAAGGAAAAAACAGAATGGCAAGTATGTGAATTGTTGGGAAATGTATTATGACTATAAATGAATTCTAGAGTTGTTGAGCTTTTTATTTTTCTCCTAATTATGAGTGAGGTATTAATGCTAGTCTGAATGAGGTACTAATGGCAAATGCATTGAGCAAGGGATGCTCCACCTGGAAATGGGTGAAGAATTTTAAATCTCTGGGGCCTTTAGAAATGTTTGAGTGTTTTATTTGTTTTCCGACATTTGAACCCCACCGTTCTTCTATCATGAAAAAACAATCTGGCATGGATGCCTCAACCATCCATACACAAAGCACCTTAGCTTTTGCAAAGCAGTAGTCTCATGTACCTTCTGACTACAGATTACGCATATCCAACATGGTGCATGCTTGGTTCTGAACCGTGATTTATCTCCTTTTATTATTCTTTGTGCTGGAGGTCTTGTGTCTTTAAATTGCATTTTATCATTCTACACTGTAAGCTGTCAATGTCATAGAGGGGAATTATATTACTACAGTAAATAAATAATGTGTGCCAGTTATGGTCCACAATAGATGGAAATGCTCAATTGACAATTCTGTGAGATCTTGCCCAAATCTTAATGGAACCCACCATTGTTGCTGCTGCTTCAAGAGCACCACTGAATACCCCAGGTAGGGAGGCTTCAGCAGCAGGGCAGCAGTGGAAGGGGGGAAACACCTATCCCTTTTGCCTCAGGTGGCAAAATGAGACACACAACCCCTGTGGGTAGGAAGCCTGTTCTATCTTGCCCCTGCAGGCCCAGGTGGCTTCGGTGGCACAGAGGGGTGATTTCCAGCTCTGACTAGTTCACCAGCTTAGCCATTCCAGGATAGTGATAGTAAGGCAACAGTGATTCACTCTCTGGAACCTTCCCGTTTAGAATCTTACATTATGGGCTGTGACAGGATATTCTGATATTTTATCTTTGCATGTGTCACCTACCCTGGGGGTTTGCAGCAAGGAGTTGGGTATACAATTTAAAAATAAATAAAAATATAGGATTGGACCAAGCATATATATATATCTTGCATATATAGTGTTTTATAACTGGAGAGCCACTGTGAGTCAGGGTAGATAATACTGAACTAACTGGAGCAGGGGTTGGCAACCTAAGGCCCATGGGCCACAAGTGGCACACGGGGGTCGTTTAAATGGACCACAAGCCGCCTCCAAACTGAGCTGCCCGCTTGGTGAGTCCCCGTGCACTGTGCTAAACCAGCACAGCGTGGCGCAGGGACTCGTTTTGTGGCTCCAGAAATCACGACGACACACTGAAAATCGTGTCTGCGCAGACGCCGGAAATCACATCTGTGCATACACAGATGCTGGAAATCACGAGCATGAGTGTTCATACACGCTCACAATTCGGCCCATGGAGGGAGTCTCTGCTGGTGTGAACCAGCCCAGGCAAGGTAAACCTTGCCGACCCCTGAACTAGAGCAATCACATGACTTTGTTATAAGACAATTTCCTATGTAGCCATTTACCAAAGTAGTCCTTCTTCTCAGAAGTAATATGCATGTGTCTAAATATGCAGTGTGATCAACAATCTCTTCAAGTAGAAGATACTTATAGGCATCAGCATGAACCTAGCCTGTTTACGAATAATTTGAGATTCTGACCTGAGAACTTTTAAAAGGAGGACACATTAGGAAAAATATTTTATGTGCTAGTGCCATACTTCTGAACTCCTTTGTGAGCTGGGTGGGATGGGGGTCGGGAGGTTTATTGAATCTGCAGGAGTCCTTCTAAGGAAGGGTAACTCACAAAATTCTGTTGCATGCTGTTGATCATTGGCCATGCTGGCTGGGGCTTATAGTAGTTGGAAACTAACTAACAATATCTGGAGGGTCACTTTATAATTAGGGTCTCCTGAAGTTATATTAAAAGGAAGAAAATAGTTATATAGCTATATAGTTTAATTAGCTCACTAAAGTGAGAGTTGCGAGGATTAAAGATGTAGACTTTTGGGCTATTTCCTTATATAGGCAGGTTTTAATGACACTCATATAAGATCGTATGTGTGCTTGCTTTCCATGTACATGTGGGGACATACCAGAAATAGATATCAACTACATGGCGATCATGTAATGGACAGTGTTCATGAAACGGACAATGTCAAGAGATGATAAACGATGATGTACAGCTCTCTTTTCTCACAGGAATGGAGACAACAGGAAAAAATGAACTGCTCTTAACACGGGATTACGGGTGGGGTTAAGGACAACACTTCAGGACATTTTGACATGGCTTTTAAGTTTCCACTTCTTTCTTCTCTGCTGCTGTAATAAAAAGTGCTTCAATTTTGCCCCACACTGAAAGTGAGACATAGATATTTGCATCCAGCAAAGAAAAGATAAATACAATTTTTAGATACTGCAGATTTTTACCTCTACTGAAGAACAAAACACCACCCTGATAAAATATCACTCCTAAGTACAATGCCATTTAAATATGCAGGACCAGTTTTCAGATGTACTACAGTAGGTAGCATATGAGCTTATACTCGAATGTTTACCTGGCTTCATATAAGCCAAGTATCTTGAGTTTGGTTCACATTCATTGTCAGGCTCAAGGTTAAAGACTCACAACCTCTTTTTATTTCACTCTCTCCTGCTGAACCCTTTTGTCCAGTGATCTCTAGCCCTCTGGGAAAACAAACACATTTAATATTCAGAAAGTAGAGAGTTGGGCACTACAAAAGCAAATATTGCAATTTTACTGAAAGGACAGTAAGGCGGTTAGTTTATAAATGTAAACATGAAGTCCGTTTTGCCAAGAGATGCCAACTCTTAGGTTTAACTGCTTCTATTTTTAGTTAAGGATGTGGTTGTGCAAAAGCAAGTCTTATGTTGACTTAACTGCAGTCAGACTTCCCTTCATTTTGAAATACGTTCAGAGCACTGAAAATATTCAGGGCCATTTCACCCTCAATGGCACATCCGCAAGAGGACTTTGAGAGTACAGTAATGTACACGGGATGTTTTCATGAACTGGCATCACTGTGCAGGTTCTGAGTTTAAAGCTACAGCAACATTTTCAAGCCAATACACCACAGCAATGGCATGAGCATTGTATGGAAGTAGTAGTTCAGACAAGTGCCATTTAAATAGAAAAATAATCCTTCTACTCTCAACATATTTCAAAAAGAATGAAAAAACAATGCAGAATGCATAATCATTGTTTGCTAGCAACTTCATGGGAAACAATAAATTGTACATTACTTAGTGATAGGATGGGGTCCATTCACAGACTCACTAACCCAGCGCTTTTTTTTTTTTTTTTACATGCAGTGGGGATCCTAAGATGTTGCACACTCACACCCACAGAATGTGGCATTGCTTGGTGTGGTAAAGGACCCCTGGACAGTTAAGTCTAGTCAAAATCAGCTATGGGGTGTGGCGCTCAACTCCGCTTTCAGGCCAAGGGAGCTGGCGTTTATCCGCAGACAGCTTTCTGGGTCATGTGGCCAGCATGTTTAAACCGCTTCTGGCACAGCACACGGTGTGTGTAAAGCCACAGCACACGGTGTGTGTAAAGGTACATCAATAGCATCTATACTCAATTCCTAAACCCCTTTTGGGGGAGCAAAATGATACTGGGATGAGATATACAAACTGTAGAGGGTCTGTGGGTCAGTGTCCCATAATGTTATCGTCTTCTTTTTAATGCTAGAAGGCCTATCAAGAGAAATAAAAGCTCTCTCCTTTTCCTCCGTGGCTGAAGATTGTTTTTAAAACAAAAATTAAAAATAAAAAACCCTGCATCTTAACTAATGGAGTTCAAAATTAGCAGTATATTTGAAGCCTATCCAACCCCAAAAAGCAACATCATTGCAATATTCAGTTTATAGTATCACACATCGGTATGGCTTTGCACAACCAACAACCTAACCAAAATATTTTAGAGGAAATGTGACTGCAAATCTAATTTTGAAAATGTAGCATTATAATATATATAGTGATACCTCTTAGCTAAAATTTTAAAACTAAAGCAGCAGCATATTATCTTTTAATATGTTAGAACAGAAGGATAAAGGAGATTAAATGACAGGTGGAAGAAAAATGTGCAACTTTTACATGCTCCGAGTCTGCAAGTAGAGTTAGCTTCCAATGCCAGCTACAGCAGGAGTATCAATTGCAATGGCATTAGCATAGAAAGATGGCATATGCAGTTCTTTGGGTTTCATATCCTATATGCTGGTTCCTGCCTGCTTTTTAAAGTTACTGGAACATATGACCAGCTAGTTGCACAGAAAGGTTTGCTGATATTCAACTACAGCAGCCCACTTGCATGACAGACTTCTATTCACACAAGCGGGACTTATCCTTTCTCTCCTTCTTGCCAGAGAGTTGCAGACCCCACCTCCCCAGAGAAGAATGGGGCTGGGGCTGCAGAAAAGCAGAGAAAGGAAAAGTGAAGCTGCACGTGGTGGTGTGAATTTGGGTCTTGCCCAATATTTTTTAGTGCAATCTGGTTTTAAAAAAGTCAAAGGCTCTAACATGCATGCATAACTATTTCATTTTTGCCTCAAAACTCTTTATAAATGTTTAAGTGGTTTAAACAGCCTTTTAAAAATGTAGTTAAATGCAATTGCAGAAAAATAGTAACCATGGGATAACAACTTTCATGTGACTATGCATGCACATTTTATACTTGTTCAGCTACCACAGATAATGTGAAAGCAATAGCTGGCAAGGGAAGCAATCTTATTGTAACTTGAGTAGTTTTGTTAAAGGCACATATTTACCAAATGAATATTATCAGTGGTTGCCCACTTGTGGCAACTCTCCCAGAGAGGCACACCCTGTATAGGAAAGTCTTTTAATGTGCAATGTTTCCTTATGCTTTTATATATGTTGGAAGTCACCCAGAATGACTGGGGCAACCAAGTCAGACGGGCGGGGTACAAACGATAAAATTATTATTATCTTTCTATATATTTTAGGTGCCAGGCAAATACTTTCCTCTTTACCTGTTCTTTTGACTTAATTTGAAATGTGGCATTGTGGCCTCCTTTAGTGGGGTGAGAGCTGTAAGTTCTGCCTGTGTAGCTGTGTTTTTAGGTTTTTAATTGCGTTTAAAGTATGTTGCTGAAAGTCTCTGTCAGGATAAAGGTAGGTCATAAATATATAATAAAATAATAATAACAGATTTAAATAAAATAATGATGATGATGCTGCAATGGGTTTGAAGTGTTTAATTTGTGTTTATGTGTAAAGCCTGTATCAGACCTTGAAAATGTGATCAAGATCCATGTGTATTGGATTGAGTGTGTGTGAACCCACTTCTGACACCAGTATTACATGCCACCCCAATCTTTGCTGAGCAGTAGCAAGATTCCAGGGGCCCCTGGGGGGTGACCCAGGACCATGTTTCCATTGGGAGTTCGGACACAGCAGAGGCTGTCATGTTTATTTTGGTTTATTTTACACATATATGGTTTATTTTACATACATACATACATATATATATGGTTTATTTTACACATATATACAACATTTAGCCTTCAATGGAGGGGTGCACAGCAGCAGCACCTCAAAATGCCACCTTAGCCTTACGGCAGAATCACCAGCCTCCTTTCTGATCTGCAGGCTATCTTGGTCTATCTATGTTTTATTGCGTTTTTAATATTTTGTTGGGAGCCACCCAGAGTGACTGGGGCAACCCAGTCAGATGGGCAGAATATAAATCATGAAATTATTTATTACTATTATTATTTTTATTATTTCTACTAATTTATTTGCCGCCTTACTCATTCACATTCTAATGGCTAGAACTTTTGATGCGCTGAAGTACAAATGGTTAATTCTCCAAGGCTCACCTATGAAAGGAGTTTGTTTGACTTCATCAACACTAGTTGATTGACTAGGATTAAAGGCTGGTATACACTTAGGATGTTTACCTAGGTTAATTAACTCTTCAAATGCTAATTGCTGGTGCTCAGAAGTAGGTCCACACACACATCTTTCAATACACATGAATCTTGATTACATTCTCAAGGTCTGATAGAAATCTTTACACATAAAAACTAATTAAACCCTTCAAACCCCTCACATTACTTGGTTATAATACACACTGAGACTGTCTTATAACACATCCCAGTTATAACAAACAAGTTCTAATTAAATCCTAATATTTACTAAACCTAAATATTTAGCATCTATTATGTTGCTCTTCACTAATGGAATACATTTAGGGATGGTGCACACATAGGAAATTCTTAAGTTGGTTGTTGATTATTTATACTTTTTTTACAGGGTATAATGTTTCCTATTTATTTGAATAGAATTGTATCCAAAGATGGAAGCCTCTTTGATCTAACAATAGCTTTCATCCTCAGAAAGGAGAATTAAGTGTATGTTCACCCTCCTCCCTGCAGTCCCCATCACCCATAAAAATTTCCCCAGGGAGTTTGGGGAACTTTGGAACACTGTCGTTGTTTGGGGTGGGTGTTGCAGGGGTGGATGGCAAGAATACTCTCCTTCCCTGTTCCACTGATAAGAGCCTCCACTGGACCAAAGAGTCTTTCGTCAGTGGAGGCACAACACTGGATACAACCAGAAGTATACTAGGCATTCAGTAGTGAACTGCATAGATAACAGTATTAAAGGAATGGGCGTGATAATAGATTTAATAGAACAATTTACTATCTCAGAGCATGTGTGAGAAGAATCCTGCTTTATATGTTTTCAAGTGTTGTCCTACTACATAAAATCTAGTCCAATATTTTATAAAGCGAAGCAGCCTTGGAAAGATGAGGCAACAGGAGATGTAGTTTACAATTTAAGAAGAAATGTGAACTGTTCAGAGGAGATTTATGATACAGAGATATTTTCATAAAAGAAGAAATTGGTATTCATTCCATAGGAGGTAGCTTTATAGAGGCACACCCTATTTCTGAAAATGGAGACCTGTAAGGAAGAGTGCCACTGTGGTGTGCCAATATTTCAACTATATGACTTATTCTGGAATATAAGAGGTGGGAAAGGGACATAATCTTGAATGGCCCAGTCTTGAATGACTGCTAGATAAGTTGGCATCTCTGTAATCAGATGCATTAAGAATACACACTCACGCCCAGCCGCCGCAGCAGTTGTGCTGGTAGGAGAGGAAAGAGCATTGGATAACGAAACGTGGCTAGGGCTAGAAATATTGGTTACATCCTGGTTCTGGCTTGTGACGGAGGATTGTCTCCTGAGAGCCCCCTGAAAGGAAGTGCCACTCTTGAAAGTATTGACTACTTCGATCTGTAATGGAGGAAAGAATGAGACAAGTTGCTTGACGAACGGACAGAGCTTTGCAACCCACAGGAACAATATTTTCTAGTCAAGTTCAGCTGCTCATACAAATAGTGCTTCCATTTTCAAGGTCAGAATAAAACAAGCCCCTTTTAAAATTTAGAATAGACAGGCAGGTTCTGTACAGAACAACGTTAGGCAGCACAACTGACAGTTTGCCAACTCATTTCATGGTAGTTAGAAGAAAAACTGTTATGTATACATTTGTGTTATTATTGGGCTTTAATAATAAATTAATTTCAGACATTACTATGGAGTTCATCTGCAGATAGTCATTACCCTTGTATCTATTACCATGTAGATTTTCTTCAAAAAGTAGGACAGGGAAGAAATTCAGACACATCCAATCTCATTTAAAAAACAAATTCTACCTATGCATGTCTATTCAGAGAAAAGCACCATTCAGTTCAACTGAGCTTAGCCCCTGATAAGTGTGTATAGGATTGCAGCCTGAAATAATAGTACTGAATAATAAATGCCATATGAACCACTTTTCTGACCATTTCAGATTCATAATAGTCAAAAGGTAAACTGAAGACTTCTTATGTACTTGAACCACATTAAAATTACCTCATTCTTTTTTTATCATTCACCAACAGTGATTCTGATTATGAAAGTTGCACAGTGAAATAGCTTTCCATTTACAAATAATTTACTAATTCATTGTATTGGGTACACCTGTACATTCTGGAGCCAAGTAGAAAATTCAAATTGCATCCACCCAGGTTGAAAATATCATTTTTTACCCAGGATCTTTCTTCTGAGGCACCTGCCACACAGGACCTAATGGCAGGGCAGAGTATGAACCAGGAAGTCTCTTGTTTTCATATCACCTCTGTCCTGAACACACTGGGTACTTTACTCAAGCCATTCCTTCTCAGCCTCGATTGCTCCATGGAGGATAACACTGACTTACCTGAAAGGTCTGTTGTAAAGATTACAACCAGATAAATAACACATTAAGCACTTTGAACATTTGAAAGTGCTATACAAATGTTAGGTGGTATTATACTGCTACACATTATGTTGCTAGGAAAACAAATATGGATATTAGATGTATTAGATATGAAAGCAAAGCTCGACAGGCTAAGTTAGGCTTCAAGAGTTCATAATGCAAACCTTGCCAAAAAAAAGTAATAATCCTTGAAATACTCTTCTGTTTCAATTAAAATACTTAGGGATAATATTACACAATTATATTGAAGAAGCTGCAGGGGGTGGAGAGGAAATCCACTCCCTGCAGAAGACCCCTGGGTCCAGAAACAGGCTCCTCACCACAAGCAATTTTTGCCCCACAACCTTTAAACAGGCTATGCAGGGGATATGCTGACTACTAGAAATGATCCTCTTACTCCAAGCCCACCCCACAATAGCTTTTTCCTCCTGGGAGGCCAGTTTAACCTCAGCATCTTCTCACAGTCTGGAGAGAGCTGTCCTGGCTGTATGAAGCGGTCATTTGACACCCAGAGATGTGGGATTCTAAGACCCATCCAAATTCAGAATGTACTGAAAACAAGCAGAATCATTTCCTGTTTTTAGGGAAAATGGCTTAGCTTATTTCTGAATCGTTACAACACAAGCCATGGGTAGGTCACCCATCTCTAGCTGATAAATTTCTTCTCATAAATATTTTGTCACAGACATTTTGGCAAATATACAATTACACACACACACACACACACACACACTTGTGATTGCCATTAAGGGTTATGGTAGTGAAGTGGAGATTCCACTGTGCCTACTGCAAAAACATTTGTAATATAACGGAAAGCACAATACTGGTGTTTTTAGACTAGGTGTTACATCAGAACACCTTAGGATGAATATGTTTACATACGTCTCAGTAAGACACAAATGGATCACAAAATACTGATCAAGGTATCACAAAGATACCTATGATTAGTACGAATGTCACATTTGATGCTTTAATGGGCTGAAACATCTTTCTTTTGCACACCTGCTCAAAGCTATGTTTCTTCATCTTTGGGCTCACAGGAAATGTTAGGCTCATGGGATCAGGGCAAACAGAGCCTTGCTTTCAGAATACTGTGCGGAGCTGAACATTCAAGGTATGATGTTCACCTGTGTGAGCACCTTATTTGGGACATTTGTGATCGTCACTAAGAAGCAGTTAGGGAGATCCACATGTAGCAGAATGCATCTTTGTGTGCATTACTTGCTGGAACAAAAACCACATTCGTTTAATGTGCATTAAAATGCACATAAGAACATCAAAGCTATCTATTAAAACTGGATTTCTCCTCATCCACATTCTGGAGCAATATAAATAACTTTTAAAGCACAAGTAGAGTGGAGCTGGAATATATGTACTGTGTCTGGACACGGAGATGTCCTTTATGGCATGCCCAGTACATTTTTAAACGTCTATTCTTTCAACAGTAAATATCCATTCCTACGCCACAAACCTACTGCTTTATCCTAATCTTTAAAATCTCCCTTCCATTTCAAAATAACTTTGCCATTCAGCATTTAAGTTTCTGTTCAAGAAACATAAGTCTAAGCTCCTTTGGACATGTAGCTATGTGAATTCATCCCAATATTTACTTATTAATAGGGCAGGTTGTCACATGATCTGGCACATGGTTCTGGAGAAGCCATGCTGTATTTCATTTGGTAGACCATCACGAACTGTTATATCCTGGGCATAACAATTCTATCTGGTCAAGGAATGGACAACTGAAAGTGAATGAACCACAAATCCAAAGCCTTGATGGAGTCACACCAGCAAGCATACAGCATTGCTTAAAATTTTATAAACTGCATGTTTTGATTCTTTGAAAGTCACTTTGAGACCCAGATCAGGTGAAAAGTGGGGTATGTATATTTAAAATAAACAAATAATGAAAAATTGGAGGATTCCCTGTAATATGCCTCGTCTTCCCTGACACTTTGAATCCTGAAATGGTCTTCTCTTGGACATCAGGAACCCTGAGAAATGTAGTTATTAATCTACAATGGCTGAGTCTTTAATACGGATGCCTGGTGTCCTGAACTAATGCCATTAGCATGGGGCTACCTTGGGATGTGAAGGTATTAAACATTGTTAATTGACCTATTGATAACATTGATAAGATTTAGGCTTACTTTTTGATGTGTTATCTTGGAGTAATAGTGTATCTTTTATTATGTGCTATAGTTTCTTTGTACCATTATGGTATTTAGACTGTTTTCTGTGAACTGCTTTGAGTACAAATGTATTTTTGGAAAATGCAGTATATATACAAACTTACTATAGGTTGGACCCAGATTCTTTACTACCTAACAGGCCACAGTGTCTCTTTGGCAAATTTGCCAAAGGCTCATAAATTCCTGAACAGCATTCAATAAGAATCTATTTTGACTACAATAGATTGCATTCTTTATATTAAGGGGCACTTACTTACTTGACTAAATTAATCCTTTTAAGTAGAATTGAATACAAATTCTGGCTTGAAATATTCTAATGCAATCCTAAGCACTCTCCAACAGGGACAATTCAGCAAGCTTTCTAGAGTCCCTGTTAAGAGACTATCATGTATGTGCCATTGTGGAAATCTAGTCAATCAATTTTACATGCTCTTCAATCATATTATAAAAGAGGTCTGTACTAAGACTAAAAAACAAACAAAGACCAAGTTCAAGTAAATATGGAAAGATCAGTATTTACTGTCCATAACAGCACTAAGATTTCACAGATGTATTTGTACCTAAACATCCCAACTTGCTGAATAATTAGTGGAAAACATCTGTTAGAAAAGCCTAACAATGGGTATTCTGAAGGCAGAGCAAGTTTAAAGTTTGCCTTCTGTGTGAAAGCAGTAGAGATAATATAAAAAGTTATCACCCGTTCTGTGTTGAAGAAGAAAGAACTGAAGTCAAACTAGGAAACATTTTAAAGGAAACTGGATATTACATTCATTTATATTATAGTAGTAACCTGGATGAGTAGAATTTTGCTAAAAGCCCTTGTACCTCTTCAAAAGAGAAAATTTAATTTTCCCCTCCCCTTAGGCTATTGCACTAAATTCTTAAAATGCCATTCAAGACTACTTTGGTGATGAAAGTTGCAGTTTATTACTCTAATATGGCAACTTGATAAATCAATCTTGCCAAATAGGCAAGAAAATTGAGTAATCTGAAGTTTTTCCCCTCCTGTCTCCTAGTTTGTGCCTTAAAGTTACTAATTTGTTCCATATGTAGATACAGGAAAAGCTGGTAGAAAAGGCTGATTCTGATGCAACATGGAACTATGGTTCCTCACTATATGAGCCTTGGGTTTGTGTGCTCCTCCTTTACATCTTTTGTGTGCCAAAGGCAAAGACTGAGAGCCTCCACTTTTACTTTTAAACTAAAAGCAGTTCTATCCAAATTTGAGCAGCTATGGTTTGTATGGACAATCCAGAATCAAACCTTGTCTTGTTCTCACTAACCATCATTTAAGCAAATCAGTTTTCTAAGCCTGATATGAAGGGCACACAACCAGAGGCACTCAAGTAAAGTGTTATTTCACATTGCAGGAAAACATGGTTTCTCACTACATCTGAACTCCTTCATGATCTAATCTCTTAGCTAACAATATTGTTATTCAAATTGGAATATAACAGAGGCTGCTGTTTACAAAGTTTAAACAGATGAACAAATAAAATCCAAGCGCAAGATCTGTCACAGACTTTAGCTTTAACCCACATCTCCTGTTTTTGTCTCCTATTCAAAGTGTGTGTGTGTGTGTGTACGTGTGCGTGCGTGCATGCGTGCATGAGAGAGGGAGAGAATTTCCTGGGAATGTGTTGAGATATGGTGGTGGTGTTGTCATTTCAATTCCTATAATGCAAGACAGGAGGGGGGAAAGGGTCTGAATATTGACGTGCAGGACTCCTTTATTGTCTCTCCTGTAAGGGTACACAGAAGAGGGAGAGAACAGAGACTCCACCTTGATGTAAACCAGAGGGTTGGGGATTTACCTCTTCAAGTTCCATCTTCCCCCATAGAGGGGGGACGGTTGGGGAATAAGTGGCCAGTTGATACACACTAGGTGCACACATTGAGTGAAAAAATCAAAGAGTTGGAAAAGGTGCTCCAATCACCCTCCCCATGTTTCCAGAAGTGTATAATGCATTGGAGGATTTCTATCATTCCGCCATTCACGAGGAAGCCTATCAACCTAATCTTCACAGAAATCCTTTGTTTGATTATTTCTTGTAAAATGCAGTAGAGGTGTACTAATTCATTTGGGTGTCCTGCTTATCTGAACTGGGGCACCCGGATGCACCATCCTGACAGTAACTGCCCAGCAGTAATTCTTTTACTAATCTGGACTTCCCAAACATCATGGGAACTCTCCAGTGGATATATTGGAGCCGCTTGGAAAACTCTTTCTGAATTAATGGCTTGTTGATGTCAAATGAGCACATGATGGAGGCATGGAGCGGGGCAGTCACAGACTCCAACTGGCAGGGAACGTACCAGCAAAGCCTTTCACAACACATCTACTTCTAAGCAGAAAGGAAAGTGAACAGTGTTGGTTAGCAAGAAAACATCATTATTGTTTATTTTGGTTTAAACAGTAAACAACAAGAATTTTCCATGGATCATGAAGATAAAAGTATATAGAACTAAAGGATATTTCTCAATCTACAAGAGGAACTAAGAGCAGTATTTGCTCCTTGTTGTTTACACTCACCACAACCAGAAAGACATCCTGACAGAAATGTCAACAGACAATACTCCTCCTACAGCCATCAGGAAGAAAATAATTCACATTTAGAGGATTACTTAGGGCTGATAGTAGCCCCCCACTTGGGCATATAATTAAATATTTTTCTCTCTCGGAGAGTAATCCCAAATCACTGCTCTAACCCAAGTGAGCAGATCTTCTATTTACACAGTGAAAAATGTAAATTTATCCAGCTCTATGGTCTACTCCCATTCACCCAACCCCACCACTTCCTTTTCCATTCTTTTTTATTTCTTTACAAAACTCAAAAGGGATAATAGAAATTTTTCTCTGGCACTAAAAACATTCACAGCCCCCCTAAAAATACATCAACTTCTGCTTTAGAAAATTAACTAGCATTTGCTTTAATAGAACCACATTGCTTTAAAAATCTGATTGTAAAAATAAACCTTCCAAGATGGATTAATTTTACCCCTGATGTATTTTCATTTTCTTCTACTCCATTGCATTATAGGGAGCACATCTTTTCAAAGCTTTGACTAAAATAGTCCTTCCAGAAACTGACTATTTTTAGTACTACCTTCACACTTTACTGCAGTGACAAACACCCCTATTCAGAGAGCAGAAAAAAGAAACCCACATGGTTTAAACATTTTTTTAGTAAACAAATTTTGTTGCACATTTAAATAAATCTGCTTCCATCTTGCTCTTTTACTGACTTGGATATATTTATCATGCATAGCCTTTCCCTCATATTATAGTAAAACAATTAAATATTTTTTTTACAAGCAGAAAAAAGGTAGAATCCTGGTGCCATGCCCAACTTCTATAATTAAAAACAAATGCAGTAATACAACATATGGAAAAACATTTTTTAGCTTCTAGCTCTCAAGGTTTTGCTGACAAGATAAAGAACAAGGTTAACCCTATTTCAAGTTTATCACAGACGTGTGTGTGTGTGTGTGTGTGTGTAAGGTAAAGGTAAAGGGACCCCTGACCATTAGGTCCTGTCGCGGACGACTCTGGGGTTGCGGCGCTTTATTGGCCGAGGGAGCCGGCATACAGCTTCCAGGTCATGTGGCCAGCATGACTAAGCCGCTTCTGGCGAACCAGAACAGTGCACGGAAACGCCTTTTACCTTCCCGCTGGAGCGGTACCTATTTATCTCCTTGCACTTTGATGTGCTTTCGAACTGCTAGGTTGGCAGGAGCTGGGACTGAGCAATGGGAGCTCACCCTGTCATGGGGATTCGAACTGCCAACCTTCTGATCAGTAAGCCCTAGGCTCTGTGATTTAGACCACAGCACCACCCGCGTCCCATATATATATATATATATATGCAGGTTTTGGTGTCCTCGGGTGTCTTCCCGTGTAAAAGTTGGGGTGTCTAGGCGACGTTTCGACGAGGTCTCACTCGTCATCTTCAGGCTGGTGCTTTCGGCTTCTTGTTACTGGAACAGAGCAGGATCTCAGTGTTTGAGTTCCTATAAATACTGTTGAGGAGGTGTGGTGTATAGCCTCCAATGTTCTGGGCAGAGAGGAAGTTCCCAGGCTAGTGTGCCTTTTCTTCTTTTGTTCCTTAATTACTTGAGGGATATCTTGAGTGATTTCTTGAGTGATATCCTGAGTACCACTTAGGTGGGTCATTAGGTGTGGATTAGTTGCTAAAGCCTTCGTGTCTTGACCTCTTGAACTTTGTGAAGAGTTTTTCTGAGAAGATGGCTGTACTGCACTTAGTTGTGCTCTGGCTTGGCTTCGTGTATAGGGGCGAGCTGTGGTTTTGTGGCCTGTGCCAGCCAGATCTGTGTAGGGATTGCAGGGGGGTGCAGCATCCGGAGGTGCCACCATGGTTTGGCTACTGGATGGTGTCTGTAATTTATCTGTGGAGAGGGTCTGGGTTTGGGTCTGGTGTGGTTGATTGGTGATGGCGTTCTGTGTGCCTCTGGATCTGGTGTCGGTTTTTTGTGGGGAGGGCTAATTTCCAGATGTCTGGCAGGCGGGATGTGTCGTCACGCTTGTTCATGTTGTGAGGGTGTTTCTCTATCTCGATGGCTTCCATGATTATTCTCTTGTGGTGATGTTCCATGTTAAAGAGCAATTTGGAATCTGCAAAATTAATTTCGTGTCCTGTTTCTTTCATGTGTTGGAAAAGAGAGGAAGTTTTTTCTTCTTTTTTGACGGCATTCTTGTGTTCTGCGATACGTGCATTTATTCGTCTGTTTGTTTGTCCAATGTACGTGGCTGGGCAGACTTTGCAGGGTATTTCATAGACCCCTTGGTTTTCCAACTGGATTTTATCCTTGGGGTTTCTGAGGATATTGGCTATTTTTTTGGTTGGTGCAAAAGGCTGTTTTGATATTGTGTTTATGGAGGATTTTGCTAATTTTATCTGTAGTGCCCTTGATATAAGGAAGGAGGGCCATGCCATTGTTTTCTTCTGTGTCTTGGTTTTTGGGGGGTGTTATATATATATATATGTATATGTATATGTATATGTATATATATTCAAATATCAATTTTTGATGGTGCAAAACAAAGGATTCATTAGTTTCAAAAAGACTCATGCAAAACTCCTGGGAAACAATACAAGATTATCCTATTTTTTAATGAATAAATACAGTAACAGAGAGAGTGCAACACAGAAATGTTTGATGTATCACAGTAGGTTCCAGGTGTAATGCAAAGTTACAGAGCTAAGTATGCTGTTTATATTGCAAGCTTGCATATATTTCTTTCAGATTTTGCTAGTTTACTTGTATATGACTTGTAGGTTAAGGAAACATTCTTTCTGTGCTTTATACTTTCTATTCTCTTTCCAAGCCCAGAGACACTGGTGAAGGGGGACTGCTGCCCACACCTGAAGAGTATAGGGGCCACTAGGACAACACCAAATGAGCTGTAATCCTCCTATTGCCTGAAGGCTGGCCAACATAATGGAATATTTAACTCACTTGAGGACCCAACAGAACTCTTTTATAAAACTTTAGGCATTTTATTTCCAGAGGCAGCAAGAAGAATGCACTAACTCTGGTTCAGTAAGTTAATCAGTTAAACAATTCTTGTCTGTGCTAAGGCTTTAAAATTAATTTGTGGGTCAATCAGAATTAATTTTATAACTAATCATTTGTTGTTGAATAATTTACCATCCATTGTGGGAAGGCGGAATCCAAATTATCAATTAATAAATGGGGAAATTGACTTGGAGTAGGTGAATAATTGATTGGGGGGGATGTTTACAGGGGAGCAATGGTCACACCACAACAGACCGAAGAGGACTAACAGCCAAAAACACAGAGGGAAAATAAATTACAAAAGCTTTGAATACACCCACAGAAACACTAGAACAAACACAGGGATGGAGCCATACCATTCACACACTCATCCAACACTCAAGACTCACATTTCTAAGCAATTAAACCAGGCCAGAAAAGCACAAGCAAGTTAAAAGTCTGCTCCAGGCAAGGCAGGAAAAGGGAGTGATGTTTTCCTGCCTCCAGGCAACAGGGCTCCAGCCCACTTGATGTTGTCCTACTCAGTAATACACAGAAGCTTTGATTCACCTGTGGAGGTCCACATCTCAGCACTGTGAAATCCTCCAATTATTCAGTGGTTTGAATATGCAAAGCATTCCCTGTCACAGAAATGCAACAACAGTTCCTGCTCATATCAGAGCTACATAGAGCTTTGCAATATGGACTAAGGGTATATAATTATTTTGTCTAAATGTAAAGCAGCTTTGGGGAGAATATATCCCCAACCTTGTAGCACAACATACCTGGGTCTGGATTCTATTGAGCCCTCGGAACCAGAGGATTTGCCCACGCCGAAGTTCTCTTTCTGCATGGTCAATTTCTTCTACATCTTCATTCATCTCCTCTTCAGGCGCCTCTTCTTTTAATGTAAGACCTCCTGCCTCCTTTAAAAATTTTAGCCTACTCGTTGGGATAGTTGCAATGATCTGAAAGTAAGTTTTAGAATTATGCCATTGAGCACCATTTGTAGAGAGTATGTGAAAATCGTGTCTGTATTAGACAAACTACAAGTTTAATCAAGGACAAACAAAATATATATTATCGTTTGCCAAGGAATTCCCATCAGCCCAAAGATCTTTGATGGATGAAGTACTACTCTACATATTATGAAGCAATCTCAACAGGCAGGGAAAGAGCAGGTCCTGGGTCTACTGCCTCATCAGTAGTTCCAGGTGAACTGGAGGGGGGGCAGATAGGGGCTTTGTCTTGAGGGCTCTCCAGCACAGCCTCACCCCTCTTTCCTTCTACGTGCTCATCCTCAGGTGTCTCCTCCTCCTGGTCTGAATCAAAGAGCTCAGAGGGAAACATGAAATGAGTATTTTGTGTGAAATTTGTCTGGTTTTTTTTTTTAATTAAAAATTGCAGTTTAATATGGAAACAGGATGGAACAAACCTGAATGAAAACTTGCAAAACTGGCATGGACTGGAAACAGATCTATAGAACCCTCATTCCAACCCAACTAATATGAGCCAATGGAAACTGCTCATGGCATTAGGCACTCAACCCCCTGCCAGCTTTTTTGGCTAGGCACAGGCAAGTCTAGAAATCTCCATGCAGAGACCTGGAGGGGTGTGTAGACAGAGAAACTTTTACAGGTGATCTGTCCATGAAGATGTAGCTGGCATTACATCCTTATCTCATCACTTTTTCTTGGATGGTAAAACATTGGAAGAGGGAGAAATCAAATATTACTATCCACAGAAGTGGTTCTCTGAGTTGTAATGTATAACATGACAGTGAACATTCAGCCTGAAGAGGCTGTTTTGTGGGCACATGTGCTGAAGTTCTTTAAAATAAATTACACATTAGACTGGGTATGAACTCCAAGAGACTGAATTTAGGGCTCCAGGAAATTGTGCAATCACTGTGCTGACCCACAGGGCACATCTGAAAGAAGGCCTTGGGGCATGGGAAATATGCCATCCTTGACCCTGTGTGGCCAAGCCCCCATGTCCTACCCTCAGGTTGACCACTGTGGGGAAGAGGGAGCTGGTGTAGAGAAGCCTTTGGCCTGATCCAGCAGGGCTCCTACGTTTTCAAACTTTCCAGCATGACTGTGATTCTCAATACTGGTTTCAAAGAGTAAGAGGAACGTAGCTTACAAATCACCTTGTAAGTGTGACTTTTAGAAATATGAATTCCATTGAAAATAATGGACTTCTGCATTTGAATTCTGACTCATTTGCTTTCAAGTGTTTTGTCTTTACTGTACATGTTCTAATTACAGGGTGAACTTCTCTGCCTTTCTTGGAACTCATGTCCCTGTCAGCCTTTTCTGGTGAGGACATTTTAGGATATAGTTTGCATATATTAGTTAACAGCAGATAATATATGAAAGATATTAGGAAACGTTAGCTTTCCAGCACAGTTGCAAGTTTCATTCGGTACGGTAATTGTCAGGATCTGATAACAGCTCCAAACAACTATGTATAATTTGGAAGTATTTGGGCAGAAAAGCAGCCTGGAAATAGTAATATAAATGAAGCAACTAACGTTGGTTGAAATTCAGAAAATTTGAATTTCTGCTAAAACAGGGTTTTCTTACTGTTTGCTGTAGGTGATGAAAGAGTCCTGGGCCATTCAAGAGCCAAGGTTTTGTGGTTATTAGACTATTAGGCTTAAACTGTGGAAACATACTTCCTGATTATGTAGTTTACTGTGGGCCTGACACACACTATCAACCTCTCCTACCTCACAGGGTTGTTGTGAGGACAAAATGGGAGGAGTCTGTGTATGCTGCCCAAGCATATTTGAGGAAGGGTGGGATGAAATAATAAAATAAAATAAGGGTCCATCAACCATAGGCAGCAATGTGAATCTCAAAACCACAAAGGGATTCAGAGTGCGGCCTTCATCCATATTTCAAACCCTAGAAGAATGTGAAGCATTTACATGCTTTACTGAATTTCATTTGACGTCAGTGACAATTACATTTTTTTTAAAAAAACATACTATTCAAGTCATTTGCAATACCCACCTTCAATATACGAATAAAATTGTTTACACCACAATCCTTCTGCATGTGTCCTCAGAAGTAAGCACCACTGTCTTCAGTGGGACCAGGGCCGTCTTACCCATAGGCGCTAGGGGTGGGGGCTCTCAGGAGTGCCAGGCCAAGAGTCCAGGGCCCAAGAGTTGAGTATGGAGAAGAGCCCACCCATTGGTTGGAGCGCTGTGGCAGGCTCTTCGGCGGGCAGCTCTGCGCTGCAAGTTCGGGGGCGACCAAGCCAGTGAGACGCTGATGTGGCTGGCCAGCTCTGCCCTCCTGCGCACCTGGGACCGGGCAACCTGGGGGGTGGGGCGCTGGGCGGATCTTTGCATCCTGGCGCCCCATATGCTTAAGACAGCCCTGAGTGGGATCCCCAAGTAAGTGTAGATAGGATTGCAGCCTTACTATAAAATGTGTGATTTTCTTTGTAATTATATAAAATAAGTAGTCCTTACCTGACCCCATACAAGTTCACCTAATCCAATAAACACACACCACATCCACTGGTCAAGCTCCAAAGGGGAACAGCTAAAAGGTTTACCACCAAACTGTACAATTACTATCTGCAAGGGGAAAGCAGAAAGAAAAATAAAAGGTGCAATTACTAATCAAAGAAGGGGGGAAAGGACAGAGAGATGCAAGTTTTTTGTTCTGATGCTTTTCTACAAGCTTTCTTTCCAGGTGTGAATGCTATCATTAATGATTTTACTCTCTGCTCCTTGCAAGAGGGTGACAGACAAAATATGAGTCATGATCAAATGAAACTGTCCACATATACAGGAGGGCCCTGCACGTCAGGTAAAGTTAGTCATGACTAAGACCCATTTAAAGCACCAGTGCAAGTTATTTGCAACTAATTTAAACTCCCAGAGATGCTGATGAGACTTCATCATGACTAAATTTTGCTGGATTGAGGCTAAAATGTACCTATCAACATTTTCATATATACTCTACAACTATGTGTATAACTGCTGAGGGATCTTGTCAGAATAAGTGCTATATAAAGCCCAACCATATTTACCTATTATACTTTTGAACATACTCCAACTATTACTAATGATAATTTATTTTCTTTAGACAGCATAAGCACTGCTATTCTGAGCTGAACACACAAATCAAATAATAGACATGGCTCAGAAAATTGAAAGCACATGCTATAAGGGCAAAATACTGATACTGGGAGATAAGTGAGATTGATAAAGTTGTAAAGTGAGGATTTGGGAAGGAGAACAGGAAAGGTGGTGCAGACTTGTGAGAGTTGTCGACATGTAGAGGGCTGGGAGGCCAGCTGGCAAGCCCCAGCTTGAACATCTCCTTCCATCGGCCCGTGCTCCAATGTAAATCAGCGACCCGGACTTGAGAAGCCAGGGCACACTATTAGCAGAGTGTACTGTGCACACAAGAATAGGCGTGAGGCTTGTGAAGTCATACTACGGCTACAGATTTATTAATCATAAATCAGAACAAAGAAACATGTCGTCTCTCTCTCATGTCGTCTCAGAGAGAACAGCAAAAGCAAAAGCTATACACAAACGGAAGTTCCCAGCATACTGTGCTGGAATGTAAACAGACATGTGACACACAACAATTCCACATGCCTGTTCCTTAAGGTGGAATGGAAATGTCAACAAGAGTATGTACAGTGATTCAATAAATTCTTTGCAGAATAAACAAGTTTGGGGAAGTTGGTTCTTGACATAGAGAGTAACATGGGAAAGGGAAATGGGAGAAAAACATAAAAGTGGTTGATCAGCCTGTGAAAAAGAAGAAGGGACAGGAAAATCAGCACTTAAGCCTGTTCAGATAACAGTTAAGCAAAAAGTTGGGAGGGAAGAATAGAAAGGTGGAGAGAGCCTTAAATGGAAGGCCCAAAACTTTGATGTTCAGCAAATGTGACAGTGCTCTAATACATAGGTAGATGGTGGCATATTCAAAGCAATTAGGTTGATTCATTTTATGGAGAGATTCTGGATTGACTACTGCAGACACAGACTATCAGAACAGATATCACCAAGAAAGAATAATATGGATGATGGTAATCAATACAATGGTAGAAGAAAAAGTCACAAGAACAAACAGTGACCAGAGTAGATAAGTATGAATGATAACACAGCAAAGGATGAATTAGAAATACTGAATGGGAATAAGAAGAGAAAAATATGAGGGCAGTCCAGAGGAAAGAAAGTAAAGGAGATGGTATGATCAACAGTATGGTGACGCAGCAGAGAAGTGAATAAGGATCACGATGACAAAGAGGCCTCACAAAATGGTAGGAAGAATATTTTAAAACCTGATAACCTTCAGTGGAGTGAAAAGAGCAATATCTAGTCTGGAAGGGGTGAAGAACAGGAGAATAAATAGCCAAGAAAGCAACTTCTTATTACAAGGGAAAGGAGAGCATGAGAGGATAGGTGGAGCTGGTCAATCTTCTTGAACAAATTAGCAAATGATTTTTTGATAAGGAAGAGCAGAGGATAGACTGCAGAAGGGATAGAGCTATTTCACAGAAGCAAACTCAGGTTTACCACTGAGTGTACTCCCAGAATGGCACAGCATGGCACCACTCACTTTGCTAGTAGAGGGAATCTAATGTCAAGAAGGTGGCAGCAAAATAAATGAATGCAGGTTTAAAAGTAAAATGTTCCCAAGGAAGCAATGAACTGTGAGGTAAAGGGGAGTTTCAGTCAGCAGGGACACTTGCAGCAGTTTCTCATATGAAGGTGTGGGAACAGCACCTGGGACAAAGCTCTCAAAGTGTCCCAAGCATACCAGCCTAAGAGAAAATTGGGAAGGACAGCTGACCTCACATCACAGATGGACCAGCGGAAACCTGGGGAAATGGCAAATGGCTCTGCATTGGTAGCACCGACTCCACTCTCCATAGACAGCTCTGTGGGGACCCTATCCTGGCTCCCGCCTCAGCTGCTGATCAACTTCAGAGACTTGTGAACCATTCCTTATTGTGCTAATACAGTGGTACCTCGGGTTACATATGCTTCAGGTTACATACGCTTCAGGTTACAGACTCCGCTAACCCAGAAATAGTGCTTCAGGTTAAGAACTTTGCTTCAGGGTGAGAACAGAAATCGTGCTCCGGCGGCAGCAGGAGGCCCCATTAGCTAAAGTGGTGCTTCAGGTTAAGAACAGTTTCAGGTTAAGAATGGACCTCCGGAACGAATTAAGTACTTAACCTGAGGTACCAGTGTATGCAAACTTCTTTCTGGGATTGCAAGATCAGGTTACAGGTGTAGCTTGATCCCTGCACACAGAAAACTAAACATCAGGGGACAGCGTTGTAGCCTATTTGTCAGCCCAAGATTATACAGAGTTTGTTTGTTTTTTATTGCAAGCAGGAGGGAACTGAAAAAACTGAGCTCCTCAATTGAATTTCAAAAACATTCATTTTGGAAGAATCAACATAGTTTGGATATTCCCACCACTCAGCTGCCTAGGGAGACCGAAATGGAAAGTGCCATGCCTGTTGCCGCCAGCGCGCCTCTCAGCCTGCCCTGCCCCATCTGTTGCAGGCAGAAAAGCAGCGCCCGCATTTGGAACCAATTCCAGGTGAGATCTCACCCAATTTATACCTAACATGCCCAAATTGCATGAGCTTCTGTGTGATTTCAGCAGGTACTGGCACCCCTTGTGGACCACCAGTGGGGTGCTCATGGGGCTACTGCTCCAGTTTGCCTAATGGCTGAGCCAGCCCCACTGCTACCATAAAAAATATAACACTGAGCCTGAAGCTCCCCAAGGGCGGGGGGGGGGGGAGAAATTTCATGTATGTTCTCTGATAGTTGTAACAGCAGCACTACTTCACCAGTGTTCTAACTTCTGTTCATATTTACCTACCTAAAGTAGTTGTGAAATGTTAAGTAGTTTTATTCAATATTCTCTCAAATGTTATTAATTGCTTGTTACATTTCATTGAGATACATGCTAAGTTTCAATTGAGTTCATCTCCAGGGTCATCACCGCCACCCCAGCCATAGCCTATCAAAACAGTTCAGCTTCCAATCCTCCTTACTCTTGTGGCAGGCAGAATCACTCCACTGACCTACGCTCGCATTTAATCCAAGGCAGGCTATTTCAGAAATACTGCTTTTGCTATCACAAGGCAGCAGAGTATCCAAGACTAGCTGTTAAATTTAAAGTGTAAGATATTTGAAAAAGATTGTGAAGAAGCATTTTCTCTACCAAATGAAGTCTGTCATCATGAGATTTATTATATTTCAAGATTACTTATTAATATACTTTGTATTGTGCTGTCTCAAAAATAACCAGACACATTTTAGTACTGCTAGGCCAATGACAAGAATTTCAAAAGGAATATAATATATTCCAGCTCCTTTGCTTCTTCTCATCTTCCTTCACATAATATGGCTCTTGGATTTTAGAAGGGGAAGAGAGCAAAATGAATATATCTCCATAATATAAACACATGAAAGGAAAAGACATAACAGATGAAGCCTTGAAACAGAAAGCAATAAATAGATTGCAGGATAAAAATAAGGGAGGATTGAACTGAGACAATCAGGAAGGAAACAACAGGAGAAAAATCATAACATCTATCTTAATGGTGGATAAATCAGCAGTTTATTTATACCTAACATGCCTTTGGATTTTCAAAGAATCTCGTGAGAAGAGGGTGAAGAGTTTACAGTGGAACGTGCAAACAATATTTTGCTGCGTTAACACTGTATAATGATTACCTGCACAACAAATGTGCCCAGTACAATAGTGCAAAATATAGGGTTTCTAAAGATGCCATCAAAAACATTCCTTTCACCATGGATTTTGCGTGCGTTGATTTCATTGAACAGCTGCATCATAACAAAGGTATTGAAGATGATAGTGTAGTGCTCAGAAGGCGGAGAGTGGAGTGGTGCATTCCTGCCACTGTCAATCTTGAACATTTTTTCACCTGATTATAAGGAGGAAACAAAAAAATAAATGAACAAAATCTAAAAAAACACTGTGGACAGTTCAGTGTACCATAGAACAATCACATCACCACGTCAGCAAGATAGCAGTCATAATAGCAGCAATGACAGCAACAGTAACAGTAAATAACCAGTCGTGAAGCTTTTTATTTCTATTTGCTGCTGAAGTCTGCTGAGGTCCAAGACCTCCAAGGCTGCATATTTAGAAATGCCATCTGTTTCACACACAGAGCCAGCTAGACATTCAGAGTTGAGGGGTCTCATCGGATGAATGAAATGCTGGTGTTCAAAGAAGGACTTAAATTTATTAGGTACTGGGGAACATTATGGACCGAGCCAAGCCTGTACAAATGAGACAGGCTCCCCCCTGAACTGCAGTGGAACCAAACTGCCAATGATTTATATCAAAAAGCTTGCAAAACAGCTTTTAAACTCAATTCTGGAGGAAGGCTGAAAGGAATTGGGGAGCATCCAGTTCAAGATGATTCATTGCTCAGGAATTAAGTTGTAAATGTTCCAGATCATCTAAATGGGAATAGAATAGAACTTGGCAATAGAATACAGAAGAACATGACATCTGTTTAAAGATACTGAAGGTTCACAGGGGGAAATGTGCACAGAAAGGTCACCTGGAAAGGAATAAATGCATAGGTATTTATATGCTAATACTAGAAGCCTTCAAGCCAGAATTGGGGAGCTAGAGTACTAATAAGATAATAAATATAATAGCCATGTTTGAATCCTGGTAGCATGAAGCAAAGCAGTACGATAAAGTAATCTCTGTATACAAACTCCATAGAAAAAACAAGCAAAGGAATATTATGTATGGTGTTGCAAGTGAGATAAAATGATTCTAATAAACACCTCCATGGAACTCACAGAAATGAAAATACTAGGACCAAAAGTCCTGGAATTCAAGACATAGTCATATTTATCATCCATTCAAACCAAAACACCGAGAATGATGTTGAGATGGAGAAATAAATCAGGGAGACAGTCTTGTAATAACATGTGACTTCAGCTACTCTCACATAAATGCATATTCAAGTCCTGACAACAAGGCAAAACTTCTTGATGCAATAAGTGAGTATGTCTTGAAATAATCAGCAATAAAACCATTTGGAAGGGAAGCAATACTGAGAGGTGTTCGGAACCTGATGTGACTGTTGATGAAGTAATTTGGAACAGTTACTTCTGTGCTACAAAATTTAACATACACTGAAGGGGATAGTTACCTAGACTAGGCAACAGGGATGCTCTAAAAAGAGGAAACTTTTCCAAATGAAGGAATTCATTGAAATGAAGTTAAAAGGGAGAACCAAAAGGGTCAATTCCCTCCAGGATGTTTGGAGGTGATTTAAAATTACAATAATAGAATCTCAGCTGGAATTTATACCACAGTCCAGGATAGTTCATGGAAGTACCAACAAATCCAAGAAGATGTCAATGTGGTTTATGAGCAGAAGCAAAGCAGCTATATAAGGCAAGAATAACAAGTAGAAGTGTTGCCCAAATGAAGAGAACAAGAAGAACAAACTCTGACAAAATAAATGTAAGCTGATGATAAAACAATTGAAAAAAAGAATCTGAGAAGCAGATTGCTAAAACCATTAAGACCAACAATAAAAAATACATACATTAGAAGCACTATAGCATTCAGCTGAATTTAGCAATGAAATGATTGCTAAATGATAATATTGCAAAGAAGCTTTACTGTGAAAAGTATTAGACTGAGGTCCACATCCGGATCACTATTTTTTGGGTAGCACCTGAATATTAACTAGATGAAATGTTATTTATTAAAATTAAACAAAACAAAAGAATTTATTAATTTTAGCTTAAAAACTAACACAAGGAAAAAACTTGGTAACAGTTCATAAAATTATGCATGATGCACAGATAATACTAAAAGGCAAACTGCAGGGTACACTAAGCATGGATTTGAATCGTGGTATTGGGATCCTCTTCTTCAATTTTTATTCATTTATTTATGATCAGCAGCCACAGTGAAATTATATGAATCAGCACCGCAACTTGGAGAGGATTAACCCTTTCACCTTGAATATTTCCTCTCTTTTCTCATGCTCTTATTCACTCCCTAAGCTGCTATTTGCTGCTCTTAGTGGATAAAGAGACGGCTTGTTGGGAATGAATTTTCAGCAAAAAAAAAGTATGGGGGGGGAGGATTAATTATTTCCCTCTGCACCATGGTTCTGAACTAGAGCAACCCCTTCCTATTTGCTATTAATTTAAAAAGACAGAGAAACTCAATCATGGGCTTCAATGAAATATTTAGTGACACATGTAGTTTGACCCTAAAACCTGAGAGAATGAAATTAACAGGCAGAAAGTTTAAGAAATACAACGGGAAGTATTGTATCCAATGCTAGTCCTACTCAGCGCAGACCCGTTAAAGTTAATAGACATTCCTAACTTAAGTTTATTTCAGTTAATTTCAAACTGAGTTAATTGGATCCAAGTTGCTTGAATACAATCCATAATTTATAGAATTTACTGCTACAACTCCGGAAAACCCCCCAACACACTGAGAGTATAGATTTGCTAGGGCTGCCATACGTCCATGGCAACCGTCGATTTGCTCATCCCACATTTTATATTTCCAGTAGTATATTTCCAGGACATAATGCACAAGAATATTTGTGGTGGCTCAGGTCCTACTTGGACGGTCGTGCCTAGAGTGTTACTTGGGGAGTATTCTTAAGCATTGTCGGCAACAGATGTCCTTCCCACCCACCCTAATGTTTGGCAATTCCTGAAGGAAACCAGCATGAGCACAAGACTTTGCTATGGAATTATATGGTTGCCATATTCAGGGTCAGGGAGGAATTTCCCTGCAGAAAATTGGGCCTGTCTGGATACCTTGCCTATCTCATAGCAATAGCCACAGTTTGTTGGCAAAAACAAAAAACAAAAAAAGGCATTGGGTTGGGTCAGTCTGGCAGAGGGGCTGAGTCAGAACCACACCTCCATCTCTTCCGTTGAAGTATCAGGGTATTGAAGTATCAGGAAGTATCAAGTGTCCAGGGGGAAGACTTCTGTCTGAATGCCCAGACAGGGGCTGCCATAACCCCCCCCAAAGGCATACTGGATTGATTGCCCAGAATTGGTGCATGTCATTGGGTGATCCTAAACCCAGAAATAATTATAAACCTGATGGAATAATCTTCCAGCAAATAGATTGGTTGATTCAGGATACACACCCAATGCCTATGCCAGAACATACTGACATCTATAATCAATAAAGTTGCGGCCAATTTGATCCCCAAATATTGTCTTCTATGAGGTGAAGTCCTACCACATGTAGACAAGCCACGGGAGTAGCTCTGTGGATTGGATCGCTGAGCTAGTCTGTGTTCTTGGCAACATGTTGTGTCACATCTAAAGATCAAAAAAGGCATGGAAAGCATGTCTGAAACCCGAAGCAATACAATTCTGTAGTTCTACCACAGTTTGTTAGAGTTAGCAATAAAAAGGCTAGATAATCTTACCAACAAAAAGGAGGGTAAAAATGAGAGTGAGCTGATACACAGCATGGCCCAAAATGTTCTTCATCATAGTACGGGAGATAAGAGGCTTGTTTCGGCCGTATGGTTTCCTTAGGAGCAACGACTCTGTAGGAGGTTCCGTAGCCAGAGCAAGAGAGGCAAAGGTGTCCATGATCAGATTGACCCATAGCATCTGTACAGCTTTTAAAGGAGAGTCCTTAAGAGAGAAATTATAGAGTGAAATGTCAGTATCTTTGCCATGTCAATATATGTACTTGTTGCTCTTAAATATTTCTGCAAAACCTTTCCTTGCAACAAGGTCATAACTACCAGTATTCTAATTTCATTTTTGTATTCTCCCAACAACTCTGTCAGATGGATTTGGCTGAGAAAGTCAAATTTCAGCAGTGAGCAGGTGTTTGAATCTTGGCCTCCAGCATCCAAAGCCCATTTTCCAAATGTTCTGTACAGACATAACCCTCATTGTACAATTGCAAGAGAAAATAAGGACTAATTTAAATGCTAAACCCTTAAAATAGATATGAATAAAATACACACACACACATGCAAACATTTCAGCAAGTGAAGTTTGAAAATCCTTCAACAATGGTGGAGTAATAGAGCCAGTAACCTTTCAGGAAGCACCATTTGAGTTATTTTACTTTTACAAATTAATGGTAAGTCAAGATGTCACATCAGTCTGGTCAAGGATTATATGGTTTGTTAGGTATTTGTTTCCAAGACTACATAAACAACCACTAGAAGGAGCTATCTGCTCACTGAATCTAGTAGGGCTATGCTTGGAGTCAAATCAGGCTTTGAAATTGCCCGTTAAAAACAAACAAACAAATTCAGATCCCAAAACCAAAATAAATTACTATTAAATAGGCTTTCTTAAATTGTCTTTTGGATAATGGTTCCTTCTCAGCATCTTTCCTCACTAGAAAACTATGGATAAAGTGGCATTATAAACTCTAGTGAGGAAGAACATGTGATTTTATTTTTTAGATTAATTGACATGCTTAATTCATGTTTCTCTGAAACCTAAAACAGACTATTCTATCATGTGTTTTTTAAATTTTAAAAAAGTGAAAATTAATTTGGTTTGTGAAAAATGCATAAAAATCAATCACAATATTCAATATAATCGGATAAAGTGCCTTACAGCACAATCCTATGCATGTCTATTCAAATGTGATCATAAGGCACTATCTGACTAGTAAGTATTTATAGAATTGCAGCTGTAGAGTTCAGCTGTAACAATATCCATCACTTTTAGAGTGCCTAGGAATTAACTATCTTAAAGCAATGTGCAGCTTGTTGTATTAATACTAGGCAACAGGTCCAGTTCTGAGCTCGTCCCACTACAATGTATTTTCTGCTGCCTAGTTTTGCCCTACTTGCCAGAACAAAATGCTTCTGTAACTGCACTAGGGCAAACTATGCCATTGTTCTTCCACACTGATGTGTATGAGCTGAGCATCCCTGTGATAGCTTGCTCTGGTCACCAGAAGCAATAAATTCATTGTGCTAACTAAAAAAACTCAGAATGTATGCTTGTAGCAGTAATACAGAAGCAATTTTTTGTGATTCAGTATCTGCCTAAAAGCAACACCATAACCATATCTGAGAAACAATGCAATTTTATGATATAATGGTTATAATTTCATAAGATTTCTGTGCCGTAGATAAATATTTGAAAAATGAAAGCTGAGATATCTGAAGAGATTATCAATTGCCTAAATAAGCTTGGAGGTCTCTATATATGCCCTGCAAGCCATTTGCCCCTCCCCTGATTGGCAAAAGGCCAAACTCATTTACTCCTTCAGTGAGCAACTTGACATGCATACAATCTTTCAAAGAGATCATATGTGCACCAAGGGGGAAAAAATCCTCTTTTTACAAATGGTGTGAAATTAAAGTGCCTGTCCCTGCATCCTGCTCTCCTATCATCTGAAGCTATATTTGTTGCTATAAAAAGGTCTCTGTTGTGCAAGTGTCAGCAGAAACCCAAGGGAACTCCAGTGTATAATGAAAAGCAAATTTCTCACTTTGATCCATCCTCTAAATTACACATGTGCAATTGGCAGCCATCACTTTTGGCAGCAGCTCATTCTCACCATTTCACAGTGCCAATCATTCCATGTTGCTAAGGTGCCTCTAATAATTATCTATCATCTACTGCGCTGCACAGTTCAGTCAAGTGTAAAAGCTTATTCTAAACCCCAGCCTAAGCATTAAACACACATTAATTTTGGCACTTGGTGGAATGAAATTTCCACTGCAGCTCTTTCTTATTTCTGATTAACTCTTTGCAAGCTAAGGGAAATGTGCATCTGAGCTCGGGTTTAGAATAATTTTAAAGATGAGTCATTCAGCTACATTGCACAAGATTTTTTTAAAAAAATATGATTTTATGCATTTCAAAGGCAGAAGCAAATGGAAATTAAAACAATTATGTGGACTTTGAATTTATGTGGAAATGTGTTTAAGAAGTGATCCACCTAAAACAACATTTATTTCACTGGTTCTTTTCTTTGTAACATTGGAAGGCATTAGCAAGGATCTAAATAAAAAAAGGGGAAGTTTTTGTAAAAAGATCCCAGATGTTTTACATGAAACACAAATCTGTACATCACAATTCATCATGAAATATCACCCCTACATGTTTCATGTTGGACATATCAGGAACATTATTGTTATTTTTAAACATTCATTCATTCATTTATAAATCCAGCATATACCTTCCATATTAAAACTTTCAAGGACCGTAGCAACAAAGGTATGAAATTGCAAATTAAAACACATAACAGTAGGGGTTATGCACACTTAGCTAAAAATATAATTACAGTAGTAGTATGTGTACACATAGCCACATAGAAGTATATATATTTATAATAGTTCTATTATATTCTACCATTTTAAATATCTTTGCAAAGTTTATTTTAGATTTTAGCTGCACAAAGAAAACCACAATCATTCTGTGACAGTCAATTTTTAATTTTCAATAAATGAATGAACGATGCACAAGAAAAGTGTAACTCTCCTACACACAGAGCAGCAAAAGGTAATTGTGCTATGTTAACTACCCTATTGGTTCTTCCAATAAATAGATGGATGCTCTTCCTCAGAAGCACTTCCCAGACACACAGAGAAAGGGCAAAGCTTCATAAGCAAGTGATTGATTAGAAATGGGTTGAACAGAACTCTCTTTTCTGCCCATCCCGATAAGTTCCTAGCTTGCAAAGTAAATATTCCAGAGCCCTAGGGAGGAGAGTTGTCTGGGTGCATATATGGGAGGAATGCATTGTCCTCCCATTTGTAGTAATGAGTGATGCACTGAAGTGCACATGCAGTCATGGTTAGGGGGAAAGGAAAGAGGGCTCCATTGAGCTCTACGCTGATCCCTGCCACTGCATTCTTAGCTGCACTCATGGAGGGAAGAATTGTGTTAAAGTTTCTTAAATACTTAAATCAAAATATTTTATCAATATGCCTTAGAATTTTCAAAAGGGCAGGGGCAAGGACATGCAATCCTTTGATTTCTTTTTAATATTTCTATCCCAAGGTCTAATTAAAACGAAATGTACAAGAGGCAAACAAATTTGGTATTATATACTCCATGGTTCACTGTGCTTTCCTGATTCCACATCTGTCTTTTGTATAGGAAAAAGAAATACTAAAGAGTGGCAAAGTGACATGAGCAGTCCTCCCTCCCCTTGCTCTGACCATCCCTGCTACAGTGAACAGCAACAGCTTGAGTTTTCACTGCTCAGAGGAACCACAGGTCTGCAACTGAGCCCAAGATCCATGAAGAAATAAATAGTTATAACCTTTGAACAGCTTGAAAAATTTAGAAGAGTAATTTGGGAGGAGTTTCACCTTTGTGGCATCTAATAGAGACAGCCTCGGGTTTCACTTGGCCATATCATGATGACAAGGTAAACTTATTCTTTGCCGTATACCTATGACTTATTCATGATTTTGCTCACTGAGGCTGAATTTTCCTGTTGTACCAGAGTGAACAGTATGTGCTATGTGTATATCTGCACTGTATTCACAGAGGTGCCACACTCTGTTTAATATCACCCTTCCATATTTGATTCTCTCTCTATCTATATATCTCTATATATGAAGTGCTATTTTTCCTACAAAAAGAGGTGTCGGAACTCACCATGAACTCTTGTTCTCTTGTAATGGCAATGGCGCCCACCCAAGAGATGCTAGAATTGAATTCTGGTGAGTTCCAGCCGAAAAATAGCCCTGTATATATTACCTTTTAAAAACCATGTTGCCGTATTTCCTTAAGACTTCTTACAATGTAGAAAATATGTGCAATGGGCACATGAGAACAAATAATATAAACAGTTACTTAATACAACTGGTGTTTTGTGTATTTGTGTTTTGGTATTTTACTCACTTTTGGTGAAATAAGCAGGTATGAGCACACCTTTGTACCTCTAGATTATAAGGTGCTGACATGTTTGTTATTATTTTTTTAGGGATATTAAAGTAACTGGGTGCACTAGCAGTTCCAAAAGAGCACTGATATGTGGTTTCAACAGAAAACATAATGTTTGCTGCCTGTGAGGTACAAACTGTTCTGGACCTGGGTCCATGTTCTTAGCCCCAACAAGCAGTCAACATGGGTTACTGCCTGCCAGTAGCACAATATATAAAATTGCTGTATAAGGGTGCTTGTATGAACTTGGGTAAGAGTCCTCATATATGACATCATTTAAGCCATTTGTTTCTCTAAGACAGGATCAGATTTGAGTAAATGCAGTCTGCATAAATGAATGGAGTAGAATTGGGTAGAATCTGCATACTGAATGCAGTGACTGCATCATCATTTGAAATGGAATTCCCTTTATTTATATTTAATTGTTTTCAATTAACTACCTTTTTAGGATGCCCAATAGCAAAAAAGTTCCCTGGCAAGCTTATAATAAATGTTAAAAACTTCAAATACACCACAGAATTAAACTGGCACAAAATAGGTTTCCAGCAAAACTCTTAATAGCTTTGGAAATTCAACAAGATCTTAAAACTTCAATAAAAATACATAATCACTAAAAGTTTTTTAAGATCACTATAGTTAAACCTGGGGAAGTGAAAAGGTATGTATATGGTACCAAAAAACAAACAAACAATGAAGGCACAAGGTGAGGCGAGCCTTTGTGGGGACAATATTGCATGACCATGGTGCCATCACTGAAAAGGCCTTCTTCCAAGAAGCAATCTGCAACATTCTCTTTGGCAAGGCCTCCAGACAAGTGCCTCAGATGAAGATCTTAAGGTACTTTAGTCATTTACTTTAATTCAACCTTACCTGGGTAATGCAAGCTCCAGTGAAAGCAACGATTACGGCCACTACATTTACTGTGAGCTGGAACTGCAGGAACTTGGAAATACTGTCATAGACATTACGACCCCACATTACAGCTTTCACAATGCTACTAAAGTTATCGTCGGTCAGGATAATATCTGAGGCTTCCTTTGCGACATCAGTTCCTGCAATACCCTGAAAAATGTAGAAGGCATATCAAAAATAACTTACTAGAATGAGAAACAGTGTTTCAATAAGGAATAGCACTTTCAGAAGAGAGGTAACTTAAATTGGCTGTTAATAAATAAAATGAGCCAGGAGCCAAAGAACCATTAAACTGGTTAGCCTGGTCAAAACTTTAGGAGACTTTAGACTTGTTTTCCTCAACAGCAGTTCCTATGCTGGATAGATATTGAACCAATTTGGAAATGTTTTCAATAGCAGTTCATAATATGGCAAATCTAAAATTCAGTTACATCACAATACAGTGGTATCTTGGGTTACATACGCTTCAGGTTACAGACTCTGCTAACCTAGAAATAGTGCTTCAGGTTAAGAACTTTGCTTCAGGATGAGAACAGAAATCGTGCTCCGGCAGCGCAGCAGTTTCAGGTTAAGTACAGACCTCCAGAATGAATTAAGTACTAAACCCGAGGTACAACTGTATAGGAATTTGGCATCACACTGTCAATGGGCATACTTAAGACAATCAATTCAGCTGAAGTAACAGCAATACATCAACGGACTGAGATTGCCTACAAGCCTACTCCCAGGGAAATGATGGCACCAAAGCAGCAGCAGATTGGGTGTGAACAGTCTCATAAAATGGTGAATATATTTATCATTAGAGGGAGTTTCAGGGAATATTTTACACACCCCCACCCCCACTACTTCAACCCCAAAATTGAAACTATTGAATATTCTGGGCATTCCTGAAAAGGAGCATGTTCTTAAATGTACCATTGCAAAGCCAACATCAGCTTTCTTAAGTGCCGGTCCATCATTAGTTCCATCACCAGTCACTGCTACAACCTGCCTCTGCTCCACTTGAGTGCTGTCAATAATACCTGTAAAATATTGCAATGAATTTTAAGAAACTGTGTGGTTGCATGAAAGTATGGTGGATTAAAAAAATTTATAGTCTGATGCTGTAATCTGCATGTTCATATGGGAAGAAGCATCTTCACAGGTGGACAAACTTTTTACAATCCTTAAAACTGTGTACATCAATCCACATGTTCCAGCATACCAATCTACTTGATTTAACTACATCATATTTCTCATATAGCATCCTTTTCACACACAGCTCAATGTGCTACCCTATTTCTTCTTTCTCCCCCCTTATTAAGCATTGTCTTCTTAATTCATCTTTGCTCTCTTTTCTTTCCCAGCTTCTAAAAACTGATGGCACTTACAGAACCCACTGCTGAAGCTAAATGTTAATCTCATTTCTAGGGGGGCATACATTGCTACTGTGAGGGCAGAAGTAGTTTTCCAAAGTTATTAATTATATTGAATTGGAAAACTTTTTCAGCTGGAGCACCACATTCCCTCGTGGGCAACCTTCCAGGGTGACATGCCCGTGGCAGGCAGGTCTAGAGGCAAGCATAGGTGGAGAAATGACTGTAAATTTACATTTGTATAGTAGGCCAGTTTCTATACATGCTCACACACCATTTTCTATCTTCCATCTAGGCATGCAAGAGGCATTATCAGAGCTCGCCTCTAGCCACCAGACCTGAAGGCCCATCCCCCTCAGTTTATATACATGAAAAGCCATTGTATAACAAATGGCTGAATGAATTATTACAATTACAGAACAATGAAGGTTATATGAAAAAAAATATTATTCAGAGTTTTTTTTAGTGTTTTTTTTTAAAAACCAAAGAGTCCAGTCCTTAAACTCTGAGTATTAATAGGTTTCAAATGCCTCACACCACCAGCATGATTTCACAAAATGTTATGGTGATGGTGTAACAAGCATTCAGAGAAAGGTGTTCATTCCTGAGGTGCTCATATCTACCACTTGAGCTTAACATTTATTGAGGGATCCATTAAGCACTCCAATGATCCAGATAATACAAAGTTCATAAAAACCTAACTGCTATTTATATGTGAACATTTAGTTGGAGGCTATATTGTGTCAAAACTCATACAGATTTATTGGGATTTTGCGGATGTTCAAACAAATTACAAATGTATCTATCTAACAGCAAATACTAAACACTGCTTTAAACATACTTTTGAGCCAAGATACCATTTTCAATATTTAATTAATTAAATATGGTAAGCAGACCATTTTACTCCTAAAGAGGAATGAAAAGTTAACACCATTAATGATGAATGAAGGAGACCTTATATTATGCTAAATGTGGTGCCCCTCTGGCAACTGTGTATCATTAAATGTTCAATATATAAGAAGGGTTGCTTTGTATCTTATATTTTTTCAGCTCTAGAGTATTTCTTATGCATCAAAGCTGAGACCCTGGTTTGTCCTTCAAACAGCAGGAAAACACACATTCAGTCAAAGCTAGTTGATGTTTCAAATAATTTCATATTAACTTTGAAGGGACTACAGAAATACAAAAGCTAAAAATCCTCCCAAGCAAGTTCTTCTTTCACTGCAGTGGCTATTTAACACACACACAACCCCCTCACCCCCAAAATACTCCTTGTTCAGTGTCCTCACTGCAGCTCTAACTGTAGTTATATAGGACATTCAGGGCTGCTTTATTTCTGTCAGATTCATATCCTGCACATGTAAACAACCCTGTTATGATTCAAGTGTCTACAGTGCCTCAACTTTGTTGACTGTGTTTTTTCTACAGAATAATTCATTTTACTCCCAGTCTATAATATCCAAATGAGCAATCCCAGAATGTTTATTTACATTGCTTTAGAATACATTTTGTTTTAAGCTGACTACAAGACTACCTAGTCTAATCCTGAGAGATGCTGCGGGCGCAAACACTTTAATTGGATTTCTGACATTAGGATGTTGGGCTTCTAGGAACATTCATCTGCGTATCTTCACAAGGATCATTTTACAGCAGACAGCTTGCTCCCTGGTTGCACGGAGAAATGAGAAAGCCACACACTAGACTTATTACTGGTAGTGCCAGTACTATGATTATCATTAATTTATAGAACACTATCAATGTATGGTGCACTTTACAAAGCAACATAAGCAATAAGGCAGATCAGCTGTGGGAAACACAACAAAGGAAGGGAGGGAGGAATTGAGAGACGTGAGGAAAAGGAAAAGAACACCAGCTATGCAGTTAACCTCCTTTACCTTCATTTTAGTTGGTGAGTAAGACTAAAAGGTTAAAGGAAATTCTTATCAAAAGAGTTAATGTTGCATTGTGTTGTCTTAAACAAAGTGTATTGATATGTAGGAAACTGTAGTGATATATTTTATTACTACTACTACTACTACTACTATTACAATTTGTTACCCACCCTTCTCTCTAGGTCTTAGGGCGGGTTACAATTAAAACACAACATTAATATTGAAACACAACACTAAAAGCAGTTTAAAACAACTAAATCTACATAATTATATATGCAGCCACAGAAGGGCATATATATATATATATATGCATCAGTGGTGCTGTATGTATATGGGTAAATTTGCATTCACCTTTGACTAAAGTGTGCTTATCAGTGGGAGATGAACGAGCAAGGACACGAAGTTTTGGCCATATCTTGTCAATGCGTTCCTGTTCAATCTGAAAGAAATAAGGATGAAACATTTGTCATTCTTTCAGAAACCATTCCACCACCATGTACCCTTTAGAATAAATGTCACTTTAAGGTTAACTTGTTTCCCACCTGACATTGCTAATACTTAAACAACTACAAGGGCTTCCTAGGGTTTTCTGCTGCTCTCATCCTCTGCTATGTTTCACTCTCTGAGCTATGCTAGCCTATTAAAGAATGATTTGTTCCCCAATCAAATTACTATGCTCCATATTGTCATTTTCACCTGACAAAGTAACAGTATAATGTTACTTTCAAGAAGTCATGTTGCTTTCGGTGCCTTTGAAAATATGTTTCTGACCTCTATCCTCTGTCTTTCCTGAACCAGCTGCTGCATCAGCTCTTTATAAAGGAAAGAAACTTTTCGTATTCTCACTAAATGTAAATGATTGAACACACAGTAAACAAGCACTGACATGTTTATATCACCACTTCTAAAAATATTAATGCACTTTAGGGACGTAGTGAGGATACTGGGTTGCTGAGCATTTTTTGGCCAAAGTTGTTGAGCAAATCGAACATTTTAACCAATTATAGAAAATTCCACCCCGATATGTGTTTTCGACTGATGCTTCCCAGATATATCTGGGAAATTCCGGACACATGGCAGCCCTAGCATATAACATATTTGAACAAGACAAAGACAGACACACCCTGAATCCCTACAAACTGTACAGTCAGCAAGGCTGGTGCATGAAACACAGGCATCGACTCAATTGGCATTCAAGGCTAATACAAACCATGAATTAGCACAAATATATAAATGTGTAGGTTGCTTTGCTCCTCCTCTGGACCTGTTGCTGCTGTGCTTCTGTGAGCTAAGACTTGGCTTAGCGTGTCATCTGAAACTGGGCTCATAGCTTATTTCCTCCAAACCACAAGCTCTAAACCAAGGACAAACCTCAACTTCAGCTCATGGTTTGTCTGCAGCAAGACAAACCCAGTTGGGACGACACAGCAACACAGAAGGACTGGAGGATGAGAAAAGTGGGCATGATCGGCTGGATTTTTAAAGACATACAATCTTAAAAAGAGTACCATCTCTCCCATTTGGAAAAAAGGAAGAACGTGAGGAACAGCGCAGCACAAGACAAATATGACAGGTTTTGTAACTATTTTATAGAATATTGTATGTTTTGTCCTGACATGACTTACATCTCCTTTCTCATTTCGGATCCTTCGGTTAAACTCCTTCCCCTCAATGCAGAGGAAATCTTCTCCAGGGTGAATTATCCCACACTTTATTGCAATAGCACGAGCTGTATTGATGTTGTCCCCTGTGACCATACGGACTGTAATTCCTGCTCGCTGACACTTTCTTATGGCTTCTGGGACCTAAAACAGTGAAATGAAATGGAGGGGGAAATATCAAAAACAAGCTGATCACGATCAGATTTGTATTATAGCAGCAAAAGTACTGTGAGACCAAAAGGGATTGGTTTTCTAACATTTCCAAAAGAAGCATGATGGAGATATAGGGAACACAAGTAAGATCATTTCTTCCTACAACAACTTATACAAGAGACAAATTTGAAATCGTTATTAACTTAATGTGCCATCCAACCTGTTATGACTGCCCAAGATGTTTTCCTGATGAAATATAGCAAAATATAATTACATGTATAGAAACTGACCAAACTGACAGTTCAATCATACTTTAATAATAATAATGACAGGGAAGGTCTTGAGGGCAACAGCCTGGCTTAGGGGATGTTTGGCAGGTCACATGGCACACATAGGTTTGTCATCCCAACACTTTGTTGCTGCTCCCTGCTTATGGAATGGCCAACCCTAATAAGTTACTGCTTGCAGAATATGCTGTATTCCTGCTATTGGTTTAGGTGGTCATGCAACTCTTTTATAGGCATTAGAAACAACTAGAAACCTAATGAAAAATTCCCCAAAGGGACTGAAAGCCTCTTATGCAGCTATGATGAATTGTAAATAAAATTCTGAAAGGTTCACAATAGAATACTATCCTAACAGCACCTAACAGTAGATGTATATGCTACATCTCACAATTTTAAAGCAGCAAATACAAATTCAGCACCGCCTTACCAGATTATCTGAGCTCAGCTATTCCAATAATAGCACCAAGGAGAAAAGGCAATGGGAAGGCATGCTCTCTATCCTCTATTCAGTGGCTTAAAAAAAATAAAAATCCCTTGCCAATACTAAAGTCATTATGAATAAGTTATAAGCCTACAAAAGATCACTCAAGGAGAATTTATATTTGAAAATCAGCATTATGTCCTGAAAGCACAGATATATTGCTAAAGCTCAACATAATCAATAGGCGGATGGCAGACTGCTTGGAAGCCCTACGTAAGCTGTTCCAAGCTACATGAAGGAAGAGTGTACTAGAGGCATTAGAGATAAACATAAATGTAGTAAATAAATAAGTACCAGTGGAACAGCTTAAGGAAGTTGTGGTACTTTCACAGCATGGATATAATGGAATCAGTGCTCACATTCTGCTATATATCCACATTCAAGAAGTGTGGATGGGAAATAATGACTGGTAAAGGAAGTGCACTCTGTGCATAATCAGAGTTAGAACTGATACACTTGTGATACAATCTTGAGAAAAACCAAGTAAGAAATAGGACATTAGCATGAACTTTCACTAACATCTACTGTAGTGTGAGGCACCACACTATAGTTATTTATTAGAACATTTTCACCCACGTCTAAGCCCTCAAAGTTGCTAACAACCACGGCATATGACATAACATGATATGGCTGAGGTTAGGATATTGCTATGATATATTTTCTTTAGAAGTTAATGTATGAAAAAGTTCATAAAAAGGCAAACAAAAATGATCAAGGGGGTGGATTGCTTCCCCTTTGAGGAAAGACTGCAGTGTTTAGGACTTTTTATCTTAAGAGAAAAGACACGCGAATAGCGACATGATAGAAGTTTATAAAATTATACTTCACATGGAAAAAAATGGACAGAGAAAAGTTTTTATCCCTCTCCCATGGGCATACAATAAAGCCAAATGTTGGAAGATTCGGCATAAAAGAAAGCACCTATTTACACAGCACATAGTTAAACTATTGGACTCACTCCCAGAAAAGGCAATGATGGCCACCAACCTGGATAACTTTCAAAGAAGATTAGACAAATTCATTAAGAATAAGAATATCAACAGTCCAGTTTGCAGGCTTCCCACTGTGAGAACAGGATATTAGATGGGCCATTGGCATGATCTAGCAGGCTCATCTTAGGTTCTGCTTTAAACAAGAGAAATTAGAAGATGCTCAAGAACTAAGGCAGGCCAGGCTATAAACTCCTGTGGTTTTTTTTAACTGTTCCTAATTCAGATTGTAAAATAATACTTTATGTACAAGTATACTTATCTTGTTTTGGCATTGACAGATAGTGATTCCTAATTAAAGATCTAACTGAAATGATATAATTTTCTTTCCTTTGAAGAAATCATGAGGAATTTTAAACAATAAACAGGTTGCTCCACGACACACAAACTTATCTTCAAATCTTACAACTATACGAGATTGAAAACTAAAACGTCTCCCAATTTTGGGGACATATTAATTGCAAGACAACATGAAGAGAGATGCCTTATAAACTACATGCTTCCAGTTTTAACTTTCATTTTACTATGATTTTTTCTAATCATTTAAACTAGCACAACCCGTCAGCATCCACAACCCAGTTTAGAAACCTAAATAGCTTATATAAAACAACTGTTGATTAATTTTCCAAAAATACTTTTATGAAGTTGTAATCCAATGAGTAAACAGAGTATGCAGAAATGAGGCTTCTAGCCCTCCTGCAGCATTTTGTATGTTAAGATCTCCATAGAATATTGATGACTTTTTTATATATAAAAGACTGAGGAATGTAATTAACTGTGCTGAATTATCCCTCATGAAGCTCTGTTTAGGTGTTACAGCCTGAATAATACTGAAGGTGCACTAAGAATCCTTTCAAGGTACAACAGAGAACCACAGAACTGAACTTCTATTAGCAAAGTAGTGCACTAAAAACATTTAATATATGTATATAGCTTTGATGTATGACACTCCATCAATCAGTGACTACTGCTATTTAAAACCAAAGGCTCTGCAAACACAGCAGAACTCCATGCACACAATAGTGCTCCCTCTTCCACTCCTGTCCCCTCCAGACCCCTGTGCACCCTCAAATGTTGTGGGCACATGGGAGGAAAACAGGTGTCCCATTGTACCGACAGAATGCTGCTCACACAGCATTGGATGTGATCCAAAATGTTTTCTTCTATAGAGTAACACAGAAAAGCCGAGAAATTCCTCTTTACATAAATTTGAGTAATCATAATGCCATCCTGGCGTATCACACCTCTCTCAATTATTGTAAGGCTAATAACATCATGTGGGGAAGCAGCCACAATCCTATGCATAAGAGACATACAGACATGCAGACAAAGAAGCTAAGCCGTAGGGTGGCAGGGGCCGGTGTGGCTTCTACATAGAAGTCGCCAAAGTCACATTGAAAAGCTCTTCAGATTCTGACACTTTGCCTACAGATTTGTTGACGTTCTTGAGTGCAATCCTACACGTGGCTACTTAAAAGCAAGCCCTACCAAGTTCAAGAAATTTTACTCCAAGGTATACGACTACTTTAGATGACAATGCTAGGCCCCAGAGGTGGGGTACCTCAGACCCAGGGACTGAATGCAGAAATCCAGGCCTTGTATCTGGTCCTCAGAGGCAGTAAGGCAGGACACACCTTACTCCTCAGGTCACAACTCCCCCTGCTCAGTGATTTCCTTGAGTGCTTTTACCTGCCTGAAATGTGATCTTTAACTATTAACATCTTGCTTCCCTAGATGGAGAGGCGGGGGGGGGGATTGGAATGACAGAGTATGCAGAAACCTCCATCTTCTGTGTGACTGAAATATAGCCTACTGTACATATTACACCAGTGTTGAAAGGTCTGCATTGGCTCCCTATTACCTACCAAGCCCAATTTAAGGTTTTGTTGTTGACATTTGAAGCCCTAAGCTACTTGGAGTCAGGATACTTTGCAGACTGCTTCTCCCAGTACATACCAATCTGTTCTTTAAGATGTCCCAAGGAGACCCTATTGGTTATTCAGTGACCAGAGGATTATTCTTGGGATGCCTTCCCTCAGGTAATTTGTGAGGGAGAGACAGTAATCACCTTTCAATAAATCTTTAAAAAAAATTACCCTGCACTCTGATGCTTACATTTTTACATTTGCTTTGTGCACAGCACAGTTTTATTTGTCATGTAGAGTTATGTTTCTATCTTGTTTTTAAAATCATGTTTTAAAGGTAATTTTATTGAATGGTGTTTCATAGTGTAAACCTACTGTAAACTGCTTAGAGATTTTTAATATTTTAAGCAGTGCCTTTTAAAAACAGATAAATAAACAATGACATCAGTTGTTCTGCCCACTTTTGCCTCTGGAACCACCCACCACTGGCATGCAGCCCCTGGAAGGCTTTCCACAGGGTAATGTGACCTTCAGGGTGAAAAAAGATTCACCACCCTTCTATACACTCTTACCCGGAGGCAAATCAGTGGGGCTCACTTCTGAGTAACTCTGTATAAGATTGCACTTTTAAGTTTGCCACATTTTTAGATACTGTTGGAAATGCTGTATGGAAGACCAAAGTGCATTGGCAGGTCTTAAGAATACAGCCATTTTACCACAGGGAAAAAATGAGGCATTGTCACTTGAGGCCTGCTAGGAAAGAAACAACCAAAGTTCTACCACACACAAAAAACGTCTACCAGAAATTCTTCTCAGCTTTCAGTTGGTCTCAGTCACTCACATAATTAATTTGACTTAGTAATGTTCCCCTGTGACTTTCTAAATATCAGCTCTGGATGCCCATGTGCAACAAACAACCATAATATTTTATTGTTTAATTTAAAGGAGATGAGAATCACCTTCCCACTATCCAAACAAATGTGGTTACCTCTTAAGCTGTTAAGAAAGGAAATCATGCCCAGGGCCATGTGGTACCAGGTGTGAAATCTCCAGAAATATCCCTACTAAAATCCAAAATAGGGTTTGTTTTCTTCAGAAAGTTGCATTCTGAAACAGAATGACTACCTGCATCATTTTGCCCCTTAGGGTAAAAAGCAGCTCAGAGGGGCCATTTCTATAAGAAAAGCAGTACTACACAGAGGAAAAGAAATGTGCCCCCTTCCAGTCAGACTGCAGCATCAAGGCAATTATGGGTTGAACAAATGTTTGCTGTGGGGCATTTTTGACAGATAGGTGGTGCCACCCACCTGCAAATCACCTGATGTCATTATGATGCCAAGTGACAACTTCTAAAGGGCTTGTTGTCACTGAAGGCACACTGTCACCCTCAAGCAGCTGTCAGCAAGCCCCACTTAGCAAGGAATAATCAGGAGAGCACTTTAAACTTCTGATAGTTCCTTTGCACCATGTCTTTACTTGCTCCAGGTGTGGGGAAGGTGGACATAGTTTGAGGGAAATGGCCTCATGAGCCAAATTCAGACCCCTGTCTAGATCTGTGCACTAGGAGTTCCCCATTGCTGTCCTAGATTCTAGGACTTACTTAATAGCTACTTAATAAAGTAGCCCCCTGCTGAAGAAGGAAGAGAATGTAGGAGGTGGCAGCACTGACATTCAGCAGCAATAAGAAATATTTTTGTTATTTTTTGTCTTACTCATGCATGTTTTCGACCAAACGTAACGGCAAGTCTTTTAACTCTGACAATTCCTACACATTTCTAATGATTTTAACCACACTGGTCCAAAAATAAATAAAACAGGCTGTGAGATTATCACAAAGTGAAAATCACCAGAGCTGCATTGGGAGCTGCTTGTTAGGAGAGACCAGGCTTATGAAGTGGCTGCCACACAACTGTGTTTCATGTGACAACTAGCACATTGCTTTTTTTAAAAAAATGAATAAGGTATTACAACTATTTTATTTCACTATCCAAAGGACTGCTTTTGTATTCTATTGTCACAACACATAGACCCATTTCTAGAGAATGCACAGGCTGTTTTTAAACACCATCTTGGCTTTCACATTGAAGCTGCATGTATATTTTCAGAAAACTAAGCTGTCCGCCTGTCTGCCTATGTCTGTTTCTAAAATCTCTAAGCAGTGTGCAAAAATACAAACATAAAAACACGAAAGTAGTGTAATAAAAAACAACAACCTAGTAATAACAGCATCCAACATTATGGGTCAGGGACTGATTTGTAATGCACAATTCCTAACCCTATTTAATTTCTATGCCGATTTCTCTTAGTTCCTCTTGCCCAGTCAGCCAACTTTCAGTGCCACCAAGTACTGAAGACGACTGCTCATTGTCTTATGAGCCAGGCTTTCCAGCAGTTACCTCTCTGGTCAGATCCAGAAGCTCCTTATTGAACTCTTCCTCACTGCTCAGTGCCCTTAGATAGCCTTTCTGTCAATCTTCAGCTTAAGTCAGTGATTCAGCTCTTTTGAGGCAGCGACACTACTAGGCTTCCCCTAGCCTCAATAAGCCTCTTGCCCATACTGCTTTTTCTTTTCCTTCTGCTCCAGACTCCAGCCTTCTTCCTTCTGCCTCCTCCTCAGCAGTTTCCTTCAGTCCCACACTCTCCCAATACAGTAGCCTATTGATGCTCTGGTCAGCCTACACTTCAACCAATAAGATTTAAGCAGCAAAAAATTATCATTGTCCCCTCATCAGACCACTTTTCCTGTGATCAAGAATTTCTGTCCAAATTCACTTTTATAATCCTCTAACCCAGTATAAAAAGAACCTAACTTTTACCAGTCCTGTCTTATATAATTAATAGCCAACGGTCGCCTGCCAATGGATACACTGTAATTTAACCTGAACCCTTCTATTACCTTCATATAAAACAAACTTTGTCCCTATAAACAAACTGCAAAATGTGATTTCTCCACATAGGTGCTCCTCACCATGGTGGTTACCTAGGCCTCCAGTAACAAAGATGGATCTATCAGTACCCCAAAAATCAAAAGGCTTCCTTCAGAGTCAGTAAAACCCTATCCAGAACTGGTAAAATCCCATGGGGACACTCATGCACAGAGTCTCCATTTTACCAATCTGCAGCTTAGCAGTGCATCCAGGGGCCAATTAAGAACAATCACAGTCTCTCCTGATTCAGACTGTAATGGCAAGATAGAGCTGGGTGTCATTTAGCATGCTGACATTAGGAGAGCAAATATTCTAACAACTGCTTCCAGCAGTTCTGTATCAATATTAAACAGCATTGGGAACAAAATAGCGCTCTGTGGCATCCCACAGCACAGCTACCAGGAGGTGGACACATAAAAACCAATGCTATTCTTTGAACCCAGCACTGTAAGTAGGAGTGGAAAGACTGCAAAACAGCAACTGACAGAAATGGTCCAGGAGGATACTGTGGAAAACAGTACTGAATTAGCTTGCTGAAGTGCCCTTTGGATCCCATCTTGAAGCAACTAAACTGTTGGGAGGATGAAATGAGGAGCTCCATATTTTTTTTTAAAAAGTTATCAATTTAAAAAACAATATTTTTATTTCAAACTGCCATGCAACATTTCATTCAGTGAACAAGCCATTTAGTGAATGAGCTGAAACCTGTTTGGAGTGGAAGACATTTCATCTAGATATACCAGACACATAATAGAATAGAAAAACAAGTCATGTAGCCCTTTTATAACCACCTACTGTTAATACATTATCAGTAATGATATCAAAAATCATCATAGCAAGTGCACCCATTCATGTCTTGTAATAAACAAGCTCCCCAAGTGAACATACAGTGGCACCTCAATTTAAGTACTTAATTCATTCCAGAGGTCCGTACTTAACCTGAAACTGTTCTTAACCTAATGGGCCCTCCTGCTGCTGCCACGCCGCCAGAGCACGATTTCTGTTCTCATTCTGAAGCAAAGTTGTTAACCTGAAGCACTATTTCTGGGTTAGTGGAGTCTGTAACTTGAAGCGTCTGTAACCTGAAGCGTATGTAACCTGAGGTACCACTGTATTGTTATCAGTTTAGGGTTGAGAGCTGAGAGGTTTGGGGACAGGGATGTGACCTGGAGGAAGAGAAGCAAGCAGAGAGAGAGAGCCATTGTGGATCTCTGCTTGAAACCAAGGCTACGGCTATGGGAGAAACAAAACCCTCATGGGGTGTTAAGGCTGTGGACCCCTCCACTGTAGGCTTAGGTTGTATATGCGTGTAAAGAAACCATATATCATTAAGACACCACAGTGTCTGCTGTGCCTCATTTCCAAAAGGAAACATGAACCCTGGGGTAGCACCTGGAACCTCTGGAATCTCGCACCACTTGGAGATTGGGGTGGCGTGCAACAATATGTAAACAATGCATCAAAGCATGAGTCTTCTGGTAGTACTCTCAAACCTGCTAAAATGTGTGTGTGTGTGTGTGTGTGTGTTTGTTTGTTTGTTTGTTTGTTTGTTTGTTTGTTTGTTTTAAAAAGAAACATCTCTATGTGCAGACTTGCTTGGACCTATTTCTATCTACCAATTTTTTCTTCCTCATACTAGCTGCAGTCCTCAACAGCACACTAACCATTCCACAGCGTTCCCCAGACCTCAGGAGTAAAATGGGTGTGTACAATGAATGGAAGCAAAAAATGGGAGGTGGGAATGTTGCATGAATGGGCCTCTTTTGATACAACATGGTGTATTTTTGGCCACACTGCAGTACAAAGAATTGCTTTCAAAAACTGAACTGTAGGAAGCACATTTTTAAAATAATAATAATAATAATAATAATAATAATAATAATGTGAGTGCCTTAACATTCTACACCTAAAACCTATTTGGAAATTAGTATTATTAGTTCATGGAACTTGCTTCAAATGAATAATGGTTTAGGATCGGGGCTTAAGTTTAGCATACCTCTGGTCTTACAGGGTCTTCTATGCCAACCACACAAATGCAGGTCAGGTCAGATAGAATGTCGTTTTCATCCTCCCAGTCTGGTTCAGGGCTGCTGGGGAAGTCTCGATAAGCAACACAGATAGTTCTCAATCCATCACAGGCCATAGGTTCAATCACTTTCTTTACCATCTCATCCCGATCACGAGGTCTGAAGATGCGAGGCTCGCCAGCTGAATTAAGAATCTTAGAACACCTGGAAGGAAAGGATACCAGCAGCAATTCTACAGTTCAGAAACAATTTACTAGACAACAAAGAATAAAGATTTCAACATGCCTGAGATACAGAATTAATTTTAATAAGTAGCAAATTGATTGGTACCTTCCTAAGCCAAATGGGTGATGGAATTCTAGTTATCAGTGGAAATAACGAATTATAACATCTCTTTGTTGGCAAAAAAATAATAAATGTTAGAACAAAGATAGAGAAGAAGCCTTGAATGCATAACAAAGGTAGTCTGAATAATGTGAGGGGGTTCAGTGTTTAAAAATCATTGGTCTTGAACCTAGAAGAACTGAATTTAAGTTTAACAAGCCCTGAATCAGACTTTTAGCAAGCCACTCATAGTAAGCCAATTAGTAACAGTGAGTACTATCTCATCCATTCATGATAAATAATAATACACACTTTTAAATGTGCTGCTGTTATTCTTAAAATAATTCAATTCAATCAATTAATCTATACTTTTTCCAGGAAGCAGAAAAATAACAATTTACTTCTTTGTGGTAAATAAGATAAAAGGACATGTACCATGTCTGCCAGGAATTTCTTCTACGTCTCACTTAAATGAATGGCAGCTATGCATACGCAGTAGTGCTCTTCCTTAGCTCCCATTCATTTCCATGGGACTTATTTAGGAATCACCTAATACATGGCATCTCACAGGAGAGCACTTGATAATGTAAAAACATGTTCCATTGTTCCATGCTGTACATTTAAGGTCTCTGTGTGCGCATCTGTCAATCTGTGTTAGTAAGATTTAAACTAACCAAATAATGAGAACTGGATCACGCGCATACCCAAATTTTGTGACGTGTTCAAAGCAAATATTAAGTACATACTTCTTTAGGACAATTTCAGAAGCTCCTTTGCTGTACATTCGGAAACTTTCATCTGGCATTTTGATGACAGTACTCATTGATTTTCTCACAGAGTTAAATGTGTACACTTTGTAGAGCTTCTCTTCAGGTATTTGATTCCGGGCAGGCTGGTAATCCTGCTTTAGGTCCAAGACAAACCCCAGCAATCCACACTCTGTCTTGTTGCCAACCTGGCGAGGTAGACCACCATCCTTGTCTGGTGGCTAAGGAGAAAGAAAGAATTGGGATTTCAAACTTTCCTTCGTGTCCCCACAGCATAAAGATCTTACATAAAGCCACACTATGCATGTGCAGCTTTCCCTCCGATATTTCCCTTTTTTATTTTTTAGTAAAGCAGCAGAAGCCTGAGATCTTGATTGGAGCACTTGTAGAGGGCCAGGTCAGCTGCCTAACCTTTCCTCTCAGGCAGACTTTCTATTCAAAATTTTCCCGGATGCTGCTTTCCACCGTGTGGACGAGGCGTAGAAAAGAGCACTCTGTCCCCCACTCTAGTTTTGTGCTCCCAACTATAGGCCTCTGCAGCCCATTGAAAACCAAAAAAGGTAAGAGCAAAGTATGTGTAACTTGTCATCTGGGTCTTACTCTGGAAATCTTAACTTACCACACAAATTCAAATAAATAAAGAAATTTCACCCTCTCCCTTTCCTTGCAGAATGCAAAGCGGCCAACAAAATAATAAAAAAAAATCAATTTTTTAAAAAAATTGCACCAAGACATGCACATCCAGATAACATGTTAAAAGATAACATGTTACTTCTATTGCAATTCTATTTAACAGTGACCCTTAATATTAACAGAATGGAAGAGAGCTGATCTACTGTGTTTGTTAAAAACATGAGCTTTGAACTGCAAGTTCTCTGTTGAAACCCTATTATAGTGATGGGTGGAGTCACTGGATTTGAGGAAAGCCATTATTTCTTGGTCTGAGCTCTCCATCTGGGGATAATAACGAGCATTAGTAAGGTTATTATTGATTCATTCATTCACCTTGTACCGTAAAGGTATCAAGGTAATTTACATCAATACAAGGAAGTAAATTGTATTCAAGAAAACATAACAAAACCCTCGAAGTGATCATCTTGGAATTTTGTACACACTGAGTACCTAGGCAACAGTCCCCCCATATTAATCGCCTTTCCTACTCTTCAGCAACTTAATAAAGGCTATAAAATTCATTCAAAATAAATGTATTTTCCTCTGATAATATGTTTTAACCATCATGACAAATAATTTCTAAAAGAATTTTAGAACTGTAACTTCTTAACAAAAGAATAAAAAGTGTGACCCCCACCCAAGGCCAGTGACTCAGCTACATTACTAAAGAAAAAGTGTTTTATATGTGTTATAATACTATGACAGCAGACGGCACTGTGGAGTTCCATCTTTCACCAACGTGATTTTGCACTTTGAGGGTTACAACACATTTTTCTGAAACACTTTTTCGATGTGTCTAGATCCAGCCCAGGTCTGACCTAACCATAATCTAAATAATTGTTTGCATCCACCGACATATTTACTCTATGCAGGCTTGTCCTCCTCCCTAATTGGGACAGGCATTTCTGCTGTGGTTTAAAGTAAGTTTTAATAAAAGATACTCATTGTTTTGAGTGTACCTGAGTAAATTTAAGTATAAATAAGAAAAGACAATAATTTTCAGAAGAGGTCTTAAATTCTGTGAGACCTGCTAGAACAGCTGCAGATCCCACAATCTCACCATGGTGTAATAAAATAAAGCATACGGTGGCGAGAATTGGCAGTGACATTTCCTCTCCTGGAATGCTTCAGCACAAACCATTTCCTTGCAGACTACTGTCCGCAATCTGTAGTGAGAACGAATCTGCTTTACGCTTTAAAATGAAATTATTTTAGGCTGTTTCATGTTTATTAACTCTCAAAATTAAAGCAAAGAAATAAAAGAAATTTAACTCTGCTACAATGAAAGCTATTATTTTATTTCCACCTGCAATTTCTGCTATGCTAATCATACCATAAATCTTTTCTTGCAGGCTGAGTATCAGCTGTACCAGACTGCCATGGTGGCTGACTGCCCCGGGTCTAAAGTGCACAACAATCAAAGTTTTTATTATTATTATTTGTATACACCATTCAAATTAAAATAGAGTCTTTGCAACCAAGTATTTGCAGATGCCAAATAAACTTAAACTAAAAAAAAGAAAAGAAATATGTATCTAAACTGAGGCTGAAACATGATACAATGCAAAAACAAAGTTACCTGGAATTTTTGAAAATAATTGTTTAGAAAACTGTCCTAACCATAAATCCTAATCAGAAGAGTTATGTGAGACAAGTTGTGCATTCAGATCAGGCTGTTGAACTCACGATAACTGTGATAATTTCTCTCATTTGTCTAAATATACAATAATCCACTATTCATTTTTAAAATCTTAGTTTAGTTCAATGTTCTAAAACAACTAATATTTCAATGTTCTAAAACAACTAATGGGTAAGGAAAGGGCTAAACAGAACTCTCAAATATTTGGGAATTTGGTTAACCTCAAAGAATATAAATTTGTTTCAAGATAACTATATAATGGTGTGGAATGAAATAAGGAGAGACTTGGAAGTGTGGGAATGAATGAAATTATCACTCCTGGGTAGGATATCTGTAATTAAAATGAATGTGCTACCAAAGATGTTGTTTTTCTTCCAATCAATTCCAATAATCAAGGGGGCAGGTATATTTAAAGATTGGCAAAAGATAATTTCAAGATATATCTGGCAAGGGAAGAAACCGAGAATTAAATTTAAACTATTAACAGACTGTAAAGAAAGAGGTAGTTTTGCCTGCCAGACTTGAAACTGTATTATGAAGCAGCCTGCCTCTGTTTGTTAAAGGAATGAATATTATTGGAAAGAATAGATTTATTAGATTTAGAAGGCCATGATAACAGATTTGGGTGGCACGCATATTTATGGTATGATAAAAAGAAGGTACATAAAGGATTTGGAAATCACATATTCCGAACGTCTCTCTATGAAGTATGGAATAGGTACAAAAACCTATTGGAAAGGAAAATACCCTGGTGGTTATCACCGTTAGAAGCTATGAGTGTTAAGAAAATAAATATGAATAAAAATTGGGTAACATATGAAATGTTACTCAAAAATGATGGCAATAAATGGAAATTAAAACCATACGAAGAGGTGAAAGAATTTGTTAATGATTGGTTGCACTACTACCAAATTAATGAGATGTTTAAGGATGATATGAAGAAAAATGTATTTGGAAATACCAAATCAAAATTCGAAATTGAAATATTGAATAACAAATATAAAACATTGTCAAAAATGTATAAAATATTGCTGGAATGGCATCTGAAAGATGAAGAGGTAAAGTCGGTAATGATTCATTGGGCTAAAGATTTTGGCTATAATATAAAGTTAGAAGATTGGGGAAAATTATGGAAAGAAGGAATAAAATTTACAGTGTGTAATGCCTTAAGAGAAAATGTGATAAAATTATGTATAGATGGTATATTACACCGGTGAAGCTAGCCAAACTCTATAAGGTAGATAATAAATGCTGGAAATGTAAGGAAAAAGAAGGTACCTTTTATCATATGTGGTGGGAATGTAAGAAAGTGAACTGCTTCTGGGATATGATATATAATGAAATTAAGAAAATGTTGAAATATATATATATACGGGGAAAAATGGAAGTTTTTCTACTGGGAATTGTAGGTACAGACATTAACACACAAGATACTAAGCTTTTCCTATATGCAACAACTGCAGCAAGAATTTTATTAGCACAGAAGTGGAAACAAGAGGAATTACTGACAAAGGAAGAATGGCAACTGAAGTTAATGGAGTATGAGGAACTGGCCAAAATGACAGGAAGAATCTGAGAACAGTGGGACCAGAAGTTCATCAAGGACTGGACTAAATTTGTAAATTATTTGAAAGACAATTGATAGGAATTAATTTGTAAATTATTTGAAAGACGTTGATAGGATTGCAAGAAGCTTTTAAGGAAAGGTATAAAAATCACTGCAGAGAAGAATAAGAAAATATGATGCTCTGATGTTTTTGATTTTAAAGCAATGGTTAAGTAGTGAAAATGCAGAAATCTGAAATGAAAGATAGAAAATGACAAGGAAGGTTTGAAGGAAGTCATGGCCCTAAAAAGCCAAAATGTATAATATAAGCGGAGAGATTGTAATGGTTATTGTAAAATTAATAAACATGATATGGCAAAATATCATGTTTAAACAGAACTCTCAACTACAGATTCTTCTTGAAACTATTCTTCTAGCCACACAACGAATAAATAGTTCCAACCTATTCCTCTTTAAACAAAATGTAATACAAAAACAGTATGATCGTTATTCATCTAGTTCAAGGGGTAGGGATCTGATGCAGCCCTGCAGCTATTTCTGTACAGCTCTTGGGACTCTGATTAGGCCACACCCACCTTTCACCTGCCCTGTTCCATGCCATTGTTGAGTGCTTTTTGCCTGGCTGGATATGAGTTTCTGAACTGTGAAAATGCATCTTGCTTGTCTGGATAGACAGATTGTGTGTGTGTGTGATCATATTTACTAGCCAGCGTAAAGTAAGCCATTTTATCTTAGCCTCAATCCCCTCATGTGCAATAAGAAGGATAATAATACTGATTTAGTTGTTAGGATTACAAGTAAGTAGTGCATGCGAAGCACTTTGAACAGCGGAAAGTACTGTGCAAATGTCATCCTCATCATTATTATCATTATTTATTACTATATGAACCTTGACTTGCTTGAATTATGCAATAGTGATCTGCGCTGTCTACAGGGACAAAAAATGTGAAAGATAAGTTTTAATAGATTTTGGGGGCCTTTAGACATTCTTTATAAACCCACCTCTTACCTAAAAATATCAACTTCATGAAAATTTGGCATGGCACATGTAAGTTACAAAACAGAATGGTTTTCGAAACATTTCTTTGAAAACCACAAAACATATAAGGTAAAGGTAAAGGTACCCCTGCCCGTACGGGCCAGTCTTGACAGACTCTGGGGTTGCGCGCCCATCTCGCTTAAGAGGCCAGGGGCCAGCGCTGTCCGAAGACACTTCCGGGTCACGTGGCCAGCGTGACAAGCTGCATCTGGCGAGCCAGCGCAGCACACGGAACGCCGTTTACCTTCCCGCTGGTAAGCGGTCCCTATTTATCTACCTGCACCCGGGGGTGCTTTCGAACTGCTAGGTTGGCAGGCGCTGGGACCGAGCAGCGGGAGCGCACCCTGCCGCGGGGATTCGAACCGCCGACCTTTCGATCGGCAAGCCCTAGGCGCTGAGGCTTTTACCCACAGCGCCACCCGCGTCCCTTACAAAACATATAGATATAGACTTATTCTTACTTTGACCAAACCTTCACACAACAGCATTTTTATTACAGTGGAAAGAGAATTCTAAGTATCGACACAGATTCCCCAAATGTCTTTTTAGTGTCTGAAATCAAAGCCTACCTACCAGAACTTTTGAAGTGTAAGCGCTGTTGATGGCAATTGCATTAACCAGCAAATCCAGAATTTTGGCTGGAATGGAATCTGGGTCAGGGATCTCTTTGTAATGGGTATCTCCAATGTACGCTTGTACTACTGTCATCCGGTTGGTGGTTAACGTCCCTGTTTTATCAGAGCAGATGGCTGTAGCATTACCCATCGTCTCACACGCATCCAAATGACGGACCAGATTGTTATCTTTCATCATTTTCTGAAAAAGAAGAAAAAAATAAAGCCTATTTGGTAAATAGGTTGAAAATCCCTTATGCTAATTAAATGCATAAGCATTTCTTAAGTAGAGCAGATGGATTAATCTTTCCACAAAATCCCATTTGCACTTGTAAAACATAGAAACTTCAGGTACACAAAATGCATTTTTACAAAATTCCTGTAAATGAGGGATTAATGTGACTTAATATCTGCCAATATTTTAATGGTTGGGGTTTTTTGTGTGTTTTTTTAGGCACATGAGACAATCAGCAGAACAAGAACAATATAATCTGGCTACAGTTTTCAAACATCAGTACAAAAATACTGAAATTCATTTGAAAGATACACTCACCCACCCACACAGAGCATTAAACCAAAGTAGGAGTGGACATATTTCTTCCATTCCATTTTGTAATTCTACAGATGGCTCTGTCCTGTGTTCCACTCTACTTATCTTCCAATTTTACATTAAGGATTTCTATAATTAATTTTGGTAACAGTGCATGTACAGTTGGCTCTTGCTGAACTTTCCATTTCTTCCATTTCCATTATTCTTTTCCATTTAGGTAAGCTGTGTGCATGAGTGATCATGCACATTAAAAAAAACAACCCCAGTCATTTCTATTTTCTTTGTTTGCTTTTCAGCATACAGTTGTCTACACCACTGCATTTACATTTCTCGGAATGGAAAGGTTCTGGTGTTTTAGACTTCAGTGGAGCTCTCCACCCAAACACTGATCCTTACTTGTAATGGAAACATTTGCAGGGAGGGGGGAGGAGAAAGGCAGGAATGGAACTCAGAGAAACACACATGTTCTATTATGAATGTTTATGGTAGCTCTTGCTGCTCTCTATGCCTTCCTCCCATTACCAGCCTTTTTTCTTTTTTGTCTATATGTCATTGTTGTTGAGATTGTGTTTATATAATCTAAGAACAAAACTAATACAGTGTTTCAGAACTGTATTAAAAAGCCAGAATATTAAAGCTACTAAGAATGGTATTAAGCATTGTGATGGCAGGAAGGCATCAGTATAGACAGCAGTCTTTACAAATTCTGGAAATCCAAGCCAGGAAAAATGGCAAAAAAAAAAAAAAAACCATTCATAGGTACAGCTCCACAATCTAAGAAAAGGAAAGCAGGAACCACTAAAACAATAACTTTGAAAGGAAACTCAGAAGCATCCTACCCCGAGGTGGCTATCACCGGTAGAGGCCAAGGCTAGGAAAAGACCCAATATGGAGGCCTACTGGCCAAAATATTGGGAAATAATTGAAAAAACTGGAGACAATTGGAGGCTACAGAGCCAAGACAAGTTAAAAGATAAGGTGCGGGACTGGTTACACTATGCTCAAATTCAAGAGGTGTTTAAAATGGATAAAAAAGTTGGTTTCCAAGTGGAAAAATCGAAATTAGAGACAGAATTGTTAGAACCAAAAACTAAGACATTATCGAAAATGTATAACTTGCTGCTTAAGTGGAATACACAGGATGAGACAGTCAAATCTGCCATGATAAAATGGGCACAGGATATTGGACACAACATTATGTTTGAAGACTGGGAAAGGTTATGGAACACCGGAATGAAGTTTACGGCATGTAATGCCTTGAAAGAAAACATTATGAAAATGATATACCGGTGGTACATGACCCCAGTCAAGTTAGCTAAGATATACCATCTGTCTGATAATAAATGTTGGAAATGTAAGGAGGCAGAAGGGACATTCTTTCACCTTTGGTGGACCTGCCCAAAAGTGAAGGCCTACTGGGAAATGATTTACAATGAGCTAAAAAAGGTATTTAGGTATACCTTCCCTAAGAAACCAGAGGCCTTCCTATTGGGCATAGTGGACCAGAGGGTGTTAAAGAAGGACAGAACTTTGTTTATGTATGCTACCACAGCAGCAAGAATTCTTTTTGCAAAGCACTGGAAGACTCAAGATCTACCCACGTTGGAGGAGTGGCAGACGCAGTTGATGGACTATATGGAACTGGCTGAAATGACTGGCAGAATCCGAGATCTGGGAGAGGAAACAACGGAAGAGGACTGGAAAAAATTTAAGGACTATTTGCAAAAACATTATAAGTTGTATGAATGTTAAGAAATATGCACGATTAGGAAATTTTTGCTTTAGCAAATTGATTAGGTAAACTGAAAATTAAGACAAGAAAAAAGAGGTGGTAATATGAATCAACTTTATTATGTTAATTTTAAATGTACAAAGTTTGGGATATGAGATTGTGAATTTGGAAACATAATAACTGAAAGATACAGTAAGTTAAGAAACAAGGTAACAAATTGCTGAAACTTTTATTGCAAAGAACGCAGGGTCTGGAGGATGTGGGGAAGTCCATTTGGAATATTGAAAAAACTATTGAAAGTTGGACAGGAATAACCTTTTTTTCTATTACTTTTTTTCTGTATTTGTTTCTTGTACTTTCTTATTGTTATCTTGTGTTTATGAACCTAAGAAAAGAAACTCAATAAAAAATATTTAAAAAAAAAAAAATGAAAGGAAACTCAGAAGCATCCTTGGGGGGAAAGACTTAAGGGAATATTAAGAGACCTCAAAGCTGAATAGCAAATGATAAATACTGTACACATCTGAGTGTTCCTTGGCCTGTGTAAGCAAATTGAGGATGAGAGGAGGAAGATGTGCATTGCACATGAACCTCTAATGCAATGACTCTTAGAAAACTGAGTGCTGAGTCATTAGAATATAGGTACAGATATTTTGCCATGTGAAAAAAACATCTTAAGGCAGCCCTGTTCAGGGAAGTTTTTAATATGTAACGCTGTACTGTTTTTAACACTGATTGGGAGCCGCCCAGAGTGGCTGGGGAAACTCAGCCAGATGGGCGGGGTATAAATAATAAATTATTATTATTATTATTATTATTATTATTATTATTATTATTATTATTATTAATTATTATTATTATTATTATTATTATTATTATTATTATTATTATCCTCTTTGAGGAAAAAGAGAGACAGTAAACTCTATTACATTTCGCCACAATGAGTACCAGTCCCGTACATAACTCTATACTCTATACAAACTAGCACAGGAAACCCTCATCACACAGTACAGAGATCTGCTGTCCTAAGGCAATTAAGTTCATTGTGAATTGTATTTCAGACTCTGCTTTGGTGTCTGGGTTCCCATTCAAATGCATTTGCATTATTTACTGGATTATGTTATTCATGCATATTGAAAGCCAGTGGCGTAGCGTGGGGGGTGCAGGGGGGGGGCCGGCCACACCGGGCGCAACATCTGGGGTTAGGGCAAATCCACGGGTTAGGGGGCGCAAATCCACAGGTTAGGGGGCGAAAATCCACGGGTTAGGGGGCGCAAATTACTTGCCTTGCCCCGGGTGCTGACAAACCACGCTACGCCGCTGTTGAAAGCCTGCTACTGTAGAATAATTTAATTAGGTATATATACCTTACTGGAAATTGAGCTATTCTAGCATAAGTGTTTTCCCCCCATAACTGCAAAATGGTTGACACAATGGCACCTGAGGTGCTTCAGTTTAAGTGGAAATCCATGTCTCTTTATCCAAGTCCAATTGCTTCATTCACTTCTTTAAAGAGATCCCTCTAAGTAAAGCCCACCCATGTTATTGTTTGAACTATTAGTTCCACAGTAGTGAGGGAAGTTCCTCTAGAGAAATATTCTGCTGTGCACAATGTCAACATTTCTATTCTATTCTATTCTATTCTATTCTTCGGCTACATTTTTGATCTGACGACATTAGCATTCTGAAAAACCTTTAAAATTACACTGACATACAGTCCTGTTTACCTTACTAAACAGTAAACCAATTTTTATGTAATCTATTAACAAATTGAATAACTACGGAAAAAATCTTGGTTTCAAGACTGTTGCTTACCTTTACAGAGTAAGCGAGGGAAATAGTAACTGCAAGTGGAAGTCCTTCTGGAACAGCAACTACAAGCACGGTAACACCAATTATGAAGAACTTAACAAAATACTGAACATAGATAGGTGTGCATTCAGGCAGCCATGGCTTCTTGCTGACTACGAAGTTTTCAACAGTGAAGTATAATACTAAGATGATGACAGTGATGGCAGACATCACCAAACCTGAAACAGACAAAAAAAGTTAACTTTTACTATAGCAAGTGTGTGTGTGGGGGGTGGAAATCTTGTGAAAAAAATATTTTTATTTAAGGCATCATGCTACAACATTTTTGTATGTTAAAATCTCAGTTTAATCATTATCGTGTCTGACAGCTTAACTATGAAGCCCGGAGACGTGATCCAGAATCACACACACATGCAGCCCATCAAAACTTCTTACGAGAATTATCTGACTCTGTGTAATGCAGCGTCCTATGTGATATTTCGAGATCTTGAGCTCAGCTATACCTTGGGGAAATTGCACTGGACTCTTATCACTACAGAGAATGAGCAGAACCCCACGGAGTCTCAGTTTGGGTTCCAAAGAAATGTGTTTAATACTACAATTGCTTTGAATGCCTTGAGTGTGGAGTGCAAACCCATAGAGTGCTAATCGAGCTCCATGTACAAAAAAAAAGGTGACAAAGGGAATGGCTTTGGGAAATGGTTTTTATCTATTGCGCGCAGATCTGGCTGGCAATTAGTCTAAACTCTCTAGTACATTCCTCATCACAATAGGCTACCCCATCAAATGTACACCATACCTGCTTTCCCTATCTGGACAGCCAATTTAGTCAGCTTCCCTTGGAGGACAGATTTTTCTTTCTTATGCATGTTGGCTTTCCTCTTGTCTTTATCGTCTCCATCTCCACCTTCAGCACTCTTCAGTGGCTGCATCTCCATTGCAGCAGCACCATCCTGCTGTTTGGCTAACAGTGCAGAAGGGGGGAAATTATTTAAGAACTGTAGCGTTATTTCAGATGTTTAATTTATAAAATGAGATATCTGGCCTTCAGTGTTGGCTTCTGCACCACTGCTTTCCTTAGAACAGTTGACATGCCGGGTTATTTTGATAAGATTATAAGCGTCTAACCATTTCCCAGTCTTCAATTTACAAAGCACTTTAGAAAACATACACAAAGGTCTGCTTCTGCCTCCCCTTCTCTAGAATGAAAGTCTGTTGGTTTTATAGCAGTTTTTCACTTTTAAGTTTAAAAAAGGTTTTTCTTGCATTTATATCACACTATTATTCTGCTGTTTGACCCAAAGTGGCCTACATGGGGTCATCCCCCTTCCAAAGTACTAACCAGACTCAGACCTGTTTTACTTTAGCAAAAAGTGGTTTCATGTGCACTTACACTATATCCTGAGACCAGGAGATGAATGATAGATTTATGACCTATATAATTAACTATCTAACTTTTTTTTTTTTTTACCTCAGAAGCCTCCTCAGAATTATATAATTAAATTGCCTCTGGATGCCAGCGTCACCTACTCCACCTCCTTTATTCAGAGGCAAGGTCTGAAGATTACTTCTAAGTCTGTTTGCAGCATGCTTTACAAGTAGGGATGGGAGAAGAATTTGATTCAGTTTGGATTTAAAGCATAATTTATCAAGCTCACGCTTTCCAAAACAATATGAGAACTGAAACACAGCCATCCTGTGTTTGCACCTATCTGAATTTTGTGACACATTTCTCCCGCCAAATAATGCTTATAAAAACACATATTGGGAGTGAATGAATATATTCATGAAAAAAACATAGAAAAGGGCATTATATTACGAGAGACTGCTTGCAAAAATGTGTACATTAGTCAAAACTGTGTACAAATTGTGTTAATTAGGGGAAGATGCACAAAAAACTGAAGGCTTTTTCATGATGATCTGTTGTTTGTAAAATTCACTTGCTGCAGAAATGTGGAAAACTGAATTTAAGATTATAAAGATGAGAACTGAAAGAACTTGGCAGATCCTTTCATCCCTACTAACAAGCCTCCCCATAATAGAGAACGCTACACTATTATCGAGAACTCTTGTATTATTATTATTATTATTATTATTATTATTATTATTAATAATATATATCCCATCTTTTCTCCCAAAGGAGTCCAGGGCTGCAAAGACATAAGCAACAAAACAATTTGAAAAAGCTGCAGACTAGGAAAGAGCTCTACTTAAAAAGTTTGTTGAAAGAGGAAAGTCTTTGCATGCCCAGGCATAGAAACATGCAACCTAGCCAGAGACAGAACAATGAGGAATACACAAGACAGCGGTAGTTGGGATGAAGTAGGGCACACCTTTTACTGATTACAGATGTAAGTAGGTTTTGGCAAAGGAAGTGGGTGTGAATCTGGCGTCAACCAGCTCACCTCCTGGCTGACGAGAGGGCTGGGTTGACCCTGGGTTGAGTGTTGTTCCCACAACAGGTGTCCCCACAATGACCATGGAAGTACAATGGTTCTGGGCTGGGTAGCAGTCATGCCATGACTGCAAACCATGGCTTCCCCAGGATTTCCAGGTAAGTGGCCATTCCATAGATGCCAAAAAGAGAATGCCAGTATGCTAAAGGTTGGATTCCTATATTGTGTGGAACAGACCTCCTGATAAGATGATATCTACAGGAGGCCCTCACCTGCAGAGTGCAGTGATCATTATAAGGGATGAGACCATCAGGTATGTGTATGTGTATGTGTATGTGTATGTGTATGTGTATGTGTATGTGTATGTGTATGTGTGTTGAAGCAAACAGACTTACAAGTTCACAGCATACCTTGCTACTGAATGGGGCAAGGTCAGAGCTAGAGAGGGTGGTGGTGGTAGTGCACACAGATTCAAGGTACCACCTTCATTTTAATTTTCTTACACTCGAAGAAGTCAAAAGTCTCACAACTGCAGTATGTTTTTACAAAGAATTCAGTATATGAAAAAGAAAAAAACCTCCTATCTTCCTGCAGAGAACTTTAAATAAATCGTGTGGAGAGAAACATGTACCTTTCCTTTCTGTTAGCCTTCATTTTGCAAGGGGACACAACTGGACATCACACATTTATCCAAGCCCTAAGAGGTTCCCTCCATTTCTTTAAAGAGGAAAGCAGCCTTTGGAAGTGCAATTTTGAGCAGAGAAATGAAGGGGGAAAGGGTGCTTTACTCCTTCTCCATGTACCTTTTTTTACACTTGCACATGTTCCGAGGTGGTAGAGTTTGTCCAAGGTAAATCTTGGAACAAAAGTTCTTGAATAGATTTAAGATACTGATTTTATATTCAGTTTACTTAGCCCAGGAGTCAGCCTAGACACGACGGCAGAACTGCATGCAGAAATGTGTCTACCACCGCATCCCTACAGAATGAGTGCAAGAAACCAAATTCTCCCCCTTGCCTCAGCCATCCAGCCATCTTTAAAGCCATTTTCCCCGAGAGTGATTTTAAGGAGAAAAAATGCCTATTAAAAGATATTGTGCTCAGCTCTGTCTACCAGTTTTGCAAACCGCTTCTCTCACACACTCAGAGAAACACAGAGACGCTATGGAAGAGGCGATTATCTTTCTACCACTTCCAGGGGGTGGGGAAATTTTGCTGAAATCTTTTGGGAGGGTGACGCTTACCTAACATTATGAAGAACTAAACTTAGAAGAAGAAGAACACTGGAAGATGTTATAGCACAACATCCTTCCATAGTTATTCATAGGAGCACTCCAGCTAGACACTGAAGATCACTGTGAAGATTTTATCTTTTAGTTAAAAGGAAGCAAAGCCTCTTGCCACCTTGTAAATTTAGATAAACATCAAGTGCTAAAATACCAGCTATACACAGAACATGTTAACTACCACAACCGAGAACCTGCTCAAAGTCTTTTAATGCTCTAAACCACTCTCAAAAATATATGCAATTACAATTGCATTTGAAGTAGCAACAAAAAACAATAATTTTTTGTATAATTAAAACTGAAAACATGAAGAAATATGAAGAAAAGCAAAGGCAAGTGTTCAAATGGTTAGGAAAGCTGGTAGCTGTAAGTTGCACTATAATTGCTTCATCACCCCTGTGTGTCTGTCTCACACGCTGCTTATTAAAATTGGTGCAATAATAAAAATGCTATAGGGCACAATATATTACAAACTTCCCCTGTGCAATCCCAGCTGAAACTGAAGGGAGATGTGCAAAATGACAACTATGGCCTTAGATAAATTTAATGGTGTTGCTCAGGAGAAATTTTACACTACTCATAGTATATTATGGCGTACACTGTTTAGAAGATCTATCAAGAATAGTTAGACATAATCAATTTAGCTTAGCACCAAGTAGGACTGTATGTGTTGTTTCCGTATTTTGAAATTCCTAAGAGGAACTAAAAAATTTATCTTCTTCATTATTCATCTATCTTACGCAGTTTATAAAAACAAATGTGTTCAACTGTTCTATACCAGTTATATTCGTTCTGCAAAGAAAAACATGTCAATAAACTGCTGTTAGACAAATGTAGACGGCAAATGTTATATTGGAAAAATAGGTACGATACTACTCGGCAAAGAAAAGACCTTTTGAGAATTCTAATTTTTAATTTACACAGGGAATATACACTTAAATAATCTGCACAGGAAATAAATATTATTTGTTGTTGTTTTAAAAAGATGAAACACACTGCTTGACAACTAGCTGAAATCTTACAAGGGTTATGTGTCTATGTGGTGAAGAACCACATGTGCCCCGGCAGTGCTTTTGAAGTTTCTTCTGCAACCACTTTTACACAGATGCATCCTGATGTCCATCTGAAAAGTGTATTGCTCTTTAGCTATGCAGTGACTACAACGTCTGTCTGGGTGCATGCTTCCCTGCATTCACACATAGAACTGCAGGATTTTAGCCTAACTTGGTTAAAAGTCCAATACACTAATATTCTCTAAGCCACAAGTTGCAAATCCTTCTTTATGCACAACTTGATATTAGCACTGGCACAGAATACCTTCAAGGTGGCACGGACAGTGCTCCCTATGTGACATTTCACAGTAATAACCACAGAATATCACTAAGGAGAAGAGTGCAGAAGTGAAACAGCAGAAGCAGCACTAGAAAAGAGAGGTTGTGTGAGCATAGCTCCATGAAGCTTTTATGATGATGCAGTTGACTGAAGCCTTCTGGTAAGATGGATATGACAGCTCCAAGTTGTTGGAATCTATCAGCGTCCCATGGTTGGTTATTCCAACATGAAGGCTTAAAGGAGGCAAGAAAAAGGCTGGACTGTTTACAGTGTTGTTTTTGTCATAGGAATAAAAAAATTAAAAAGTTTGCTTTTGAGGTACTTTTTTTTTTTGCGGGGGTGATATTCCTGATACTATACTTGCAGAACTGAATTCAAGTAGATGTTTAAAATCCTCCTTAATATAAAAGAAGGTTACCTTTATTCTGGTTGTTCTCCATATTCCCATCCTGCATTTTGCCTATGTGATAAAAATTGTAACAAACAAACAAAAACAGACAGTAAACAATCAGTACGCACAGACAGAACACAAGACAAAGGGGGATTTAAATAAAAAGGGCCAAAAAACACGTTATGAGCATGTTTAAATAAAGTTTAATGCAAATTTTTATGATGTATTTATATGCATGAATGAGCTTCCTGAACAAAAATTTACAACCAAGTTTATCATTTACCACCAAGGCCTCCTCTGTTGCAGTAATAATAGAAAGTCATAAACACTTTGGAACAATAATAATAGTTTTTATACTGCAAAGCCTAAAGCAATAATTTGAAATTATCTAACCCAGTGTTTTGGATTCTGCGTTCTTCTGTCAGGAAATACTTTCAACATAGACCTGCTTGATATAGAAACTTACTTATACTGTGTTGCAAAGGTTTCTGGGGCATGTTCTAAAGTTGACATAGGACACTTGGCAGGCTTGTCTGATCTGCTCACACAGAGAATCATAGAGTTGGAATAGACCACAAGGGCCATCGAGTCCAACCCCCTGCCAAGCAGGAAACACCATCAGAGCACTCCTGACATATGGTTTTCAAGCCTCTGCTTAAAGACCTCCAAAGAAGGAGACTCCACCACACTCCTTGGCAGCAAATTCCACTGTCGAACAGCTCTTACTGTCAGAAATAACACAAATAAAAAGAGCAGTCAAGACAGACACAGCCCCACCCCTACGTTTGCACTTCTACCATTCCGGCCTGCTACCACATTTCCAATGGGAGAAAACGTATGGTGGGGTGGTGGCGGCGGCAGACAATGGCTCCTCCAAAGATGGGGAAAGCCTCTACTGCTGCTCTAGTGTCTGCCAGCTTAGTGACATTGCAAATGTCTCTTTCTACCAGGATCACAGGTCTCATGAACAAGAAGTCCCAAGGTGCTGTCATGGGACTTCTAGTTCAAACCCCTTTATTCCCAGGAGAAATAGATACTGCTAGTGGCTCTACATTGGCAGAATCTTCGGCACTTCCAATATACTCATGGGAGAAAGAAGACAGGCCCCGTGGCCTTTCTCATCTTTGAAAAAACGAACTTCATCCCCTGGTGCTCAAGGAATTTTTCTCTTGGGGGACATGGGCAGCTGCCAATAGTTCCTCTTTGAGTGTTAACACTCACGTCTCTCGTCTACACCTGGGGAATTTCAAGGTGCAGTGCAGCCTTGTGTTTTCCCATCCCCAAACTTAGTATCTCCTGCAGTTCCACTTTGGAAGGGGAAAGACTGGTGAGCAAGCAGTCGTTTAAGTAAGCTTGCCTGTCATTGACCAATATTTTCACTGGAGAACCCCTGCTAAACTTTCAACAAACCCCAAGTTTCCAAAGCACACTGTTGGAAAACCGCCGATCTGGGCTTCATAAATGAAAAGGCATTCCCAAGAGCTTACCCTATAATGCTCCAACAATCTAGGTGTTATTTCAGACTGGCATAAGTTGACTGTTCTAACAGTACAATTTTCAAAAGTTTAATTAGTATGTTTAAAATATGCTATGCGTTAGCAATATGTATCATATTATAAAATAATAAAATAGGAGATCTGGCATGGGAACTGAAGACTATCTAGTACAATCTATTACACTGTAAAAATCCAATATGTACTTTTGACAAATCAGACTGCTTAAATCAATAAGAGTCTATGGTTGCTAATATTATAGCCAGAATATAGAAATAAACACTGCATTCTGATTTTAAAATTTGAAAGATGAAATTATAATTTAAAAATCCTGATGAAATTAATCCTTAGAATTCCAGTATCAAAGAACTAGAGACATTCAGAGTAGCTGGCATTTCCTGCAAATAAAATAAAATTCAGTTATAATCACCCCCCAAACCAATGATCTCACCACAGAATGCTGTGTAGAATGTTCACCCTCTCAGAAATCATTCCCTATTTATTTTAAGGGAGGAAGTAGATCTCCGTGTGCATTCATTTTCAGGTAAATATCCATTCCCTCCACTGAAATGAATGGATATGGCAAGGTGCAGATATGTACAGTTTTGATGTGCACACAAAGACCTTTCAGTCAGGGAACTGTACTGATTTTGGAAAGATTGTTATCCAGAATGTATTATGTAAAATTAATTTTGGAGAACAATCTTTCCAACATTTGTATAAATGTTACAAGTGTTAGACTGGCAATGTTTATAAACGATCCTACATGTCCCAATTGCAATTACAGATCTACTTGCTGTTATTTCCCCACCTGAAGCTAATAAATAGTTGCCAAACAAAGTGACTAATTTTAAAGTAAAATAAAATAATAAATTCCTCTAATGCAGAGCAGCATAATTATTTTGAAAACAATGGTTATTTTAAATTTGCATGTAAGGTACTATTCATTTTTCTTTTATAGTGTTTCTATACATTTCATAAAGGGACGCGGGTGGTGCTGTGGGTAAAACCTCAGTGCCTAGGACTTGCCGATCGCATGGTCGGCGGTTCGAATCCCCGTGGCGGGGTGAGCTCCCGTCTTTCGGTCCCAGCTCCTGCCCACCTAGCAGTTCGAAAGCACCCTTAAGTGCAAGTAGATAAATAGGTACCGCTTTATAGCAGGAAGGTAAACGGCGTTTCCGTGTGTTGCGCTGGTGCTGGCTCGCCAGAGCAGCTTTGTCACGCTGGCCATGTGACCCGGAAGTGTCTCCGGACAGCGCTGGCCCCCGGCCTCTTAAGTGAGATGGGCGCACAACCCTAGAGTCGGACACAACTGGCCCGTACGGGCAGGGGTACCTTTACCTTTACCCTATACATTTCTACTAGATTCACCAAACTGCAATTTCCACATTCCATGCTCATTATATGGAGTGCAAGAGTGCTGCAATGTGCCAAAAAGTGAGGGGGGAGGATACATTTCTATCATGTTCTCCATAAAATGTGAAATCAGCAGTTCAGCAGGAAAAATGAAGGAATGAATTCAGGCTTCTACAGGCCTTCCTGAAGAGCTGGAAATGGGAATTTTAACCTTTTATAATAGAGTACTGCATGTATAGCCCCAGCTGTGAACCACATGTGCCACTTATGCACACAGTTTTTCATCCTGCTGGGAATACACATGCAGAAGCAGTGTTCTGTGTGCACAGCATCACAGGTGGGATTAGGGCAAAGGTGGCTTAGGCTAAGGTTCTTTTAAAAAAAAAATTTTAAAAAAATTCTCTGCATTTTTCTCCTTAAATCATTTAATAAAAAAAGAAATATATTTTCATTTATTTTCCTCTGTACTGAATGTTTTCATGTAATGTTGAAATTACAGTACCAACTGTTCACTTTTAAAGTTTCTGTCTGGAGAAAGCTGCTGCTAGATACAAATGGCTGCTTTAAAAAAAATCACCAAATATACACAGAGAAATGCTGAATCTGGCACAGAGAAATATTGAAGCCAGTTGACAGGTGTCTATGGGATGGGATAGCAGTTGCATGTTAATATATCACAGAGATAAATAAAAGGGATGTGACAAGGAAAGTCTCAGCAATGAAGCATTTTTGGAGATCCAGAAATACTGGATAAATTGCCTCTCTTGAGAGGTAAAACTATGTATTTCCACTAGACAGTGTGATTTGTACACATATACTATATTACTAAACTGCAGAAATGACTATTAGGGAGTATGTTACTTTTTCTTCTAGCCCAATACTCCATTGTAAAATGTATAATAAGCATATACCAAAGGCTGACAGACATGACAGAATTAGACAATACCCAGGGGTCTCCAGATTTTGTGAACTCATTTGGGGACTATGCAAACCATTGGGGCAGAATACACACATACTTATCACAACTACACATATATGTGCACACATAAACATTGAAGAATGGTTACTGAAGAATGCAGTTGGAGAGAAAGTTAAACCAGCAGCAATCATCAGGAAGATCTTGTCCACTCCTGCAACAATTAGGCTTCAAAAAAGCCTTCTGAACAAATGGAAGGCTTTTCCTCAAGCCTAACTGCAGTGAGGCAGAAGAAATTTCAGATTTGCAACTGAGATAATAATATTGGTGGACTGTGGACTCAGCTGGGAGATGGGTAATCATCTAAAATTGGGAAGAGCTACCTCGGAAGCACAGGGAGACATGGAAGGAGTCTTGCACCAGGCCTATATTTCTAGCAGATGTTAATATAATATTCCTGATACAATACTTAGATTTCATTAAATAATGACACATGACTATTTAGCAGTTTTTTGGAACTATAGGTAAGTTAAGTCTTGTTGTTGGTCTAGGGCAGGATTCATCTAACAAGTTCCATCAGAGGAAGCCTTGCACAAGGACTTCTGCTTGTGCAACAGGGCATTCCCCAACTTCCCCATGCCTTCCATGTCTCCCAAAATATCTGCTTTGATCATTTTGAAACCTATTCATTGGGAATTCAAAGGTCTTTCTTAAACCCACCACTAAAATGTCTAAGGGAGTAGACTACCCTTTAATCCAGGGTAGGGAACTTTCTCAGCCTGAGGACCCCATTTCCTTATGGTTGACCTTCCAGGGGCAACATACGGGTGGTAGGCACCTACCCACACTTTCTCATACACTTGGATGCATCCACTGATAAACACAAATATGATACACTCATTCATGCATTCGCTCACTCACATACATTCCAGCCCCCAAATTAGGCAGTGGTGTAGAGAGCTGACTGTCATGTGCCCTGTGTCCATGTCCCAGCGTCACACCATGGAAGACTCAAATTCAGTTGATTCACAAGTCACCAACTCAGGGGAGAGAGCCTTCAGTACTCCTTTCTATATCATTCTAACCCAAGGACATGGTTCTTTCAATAATTCCTTGGGAATTATTTTCCTGTAGCTTTTCCTGCTCCACAGCCACATATATGGTTCTTTAAAGATTGCAGGCAGCACTTCAGGGGTGGGGGTCAGAGTGGGAAAGGAAGGCCATTAGGACGGAAGGCCTTTGTCAGCCTTCTTAAGGCTTTGGATAACTCTTCTGGTACAGCCTAGCTTGACTCAGGTAATTGCTACCACTTCCCTAGCACACCCTGAGACCTTGCAGAATGCAATGCTGGCAGCACCAGTAAATGCTTCCATATTGCAAGGGGCAACTGGGTATGATCCAGGAGATCCATGAGCTGGATCATTTAGCATTTTTAATGTTGATGACAGTTGTGTTGGAGAGAGGGACTCGGTTTAGATTGGAACTGTAGCACAAAGGAAGACTTCTACTATTTCTTCCATGCTGTTTTCCTGCTTGAAATGCACCCCACCCCCCAAGCAGCTACTTGCCCTGTGGGGTGGGTGCATATTTGGTCTCGGAGGACAAATAGTGGTTCTGGTGGGACATTTCAATCAGCTGCTATTAACATTTCAAAAATCCATGGGAAATACTGTTCACCAAAGCCTCAAGGTTAGCTTTATTTATTTATTTAAAAAGGAATACTTCCATAATGACAAGTAATGAAATATGTTTTAATTTATGATAACAGAAATGAAGTTCCCATCTTTCAAAACTCAGACATAAAGTAGAAGCACAAAGTTCAGTCTTGCGTACTTAATATTTTAAAGCCATAGTGTGAAGCAATAGACATGGACTACTGCATTTAACAAGTATTGGGAAGTATACATTTCTAGACTATTTAAATGGATTGTTTGTGCGGATTGTTACATATATATAGTGTGGGTATTTTTGCCTGTTTCTTCATTGGGGATTATAGGATTAAGTTGGAAACCTAGCAAAGGCTCAAATATCAAGGCAGAAAAACTCCACTGCAGATGTAGAGCATCTAAAGGGGACCTGTGTTTTATATTGTTGCCTGGAAATGACAAGCTATCCTAGAATAGGTATTTTCTGACAGCAACATGCATGTCACAGTAAACACAGAAATATTTTATATCCCACATGATTCGGTACAGGAGTTGCCAACACAGTGCCAGGTGGGGCGATGACACCCAGCGAAACTTTAAATGGTGCCCCTGGGCAGGTATCCCAAACTCTGAGTTTGCATTAAAAAAAAGTAAGTCTCTAGCTCTCCTTGAAGAAATGTTATGGGGCAAAATGTACAGGTACATTCTAAGCAATTTCTGTGAAATGAGAATGAGTGAAGTGTGTCCACTTTGTATATTTTTCCTGGTACTGAGGAATACTTCTTGTTACTATAGACGTGTGTGTGTGTGTGTGTGTGTGTGTGTGTGTGTGTAAAATCAATATTATGTGATCTGCACTATCAGGACAAGCAAACTATAGCTGACTTCCCACGACAAGCATAAGGTTCTCCAGAGAGGTTGTCTTTCTAATTTTGTATTACTCCACACAACTCATGGCCACCATGAGACAAGCCTTTCTAGATGTGTAGAATGTTTATACGTGTTCTCTCTCTCTCTCTAGCTACTGTTGATTTTAATTATCATTTGAATGTTTTTAAATAGCTGCTGTTAACTGTTTTTAATCAAGAATGTTAATGTTTTGTTTTATACTTTTGTAAACTGCTTAGAGGATTTGTTCCAATCAAGCAGTATATAAATCTTGTTAAATAAAGTAAAATATGTACATTAAATTTTAAAAGAGAGCTCAAGTACATGCCAGGCACTATAGTGGCTACCGCATTATAAGTAATAGTTCTCTTTAAAATGTAGGACATATACTAAATATGCTTCTGTATCAGCGCCAGGCTACCTACATATACAACTAGCCCTTTCTTAATAAACTGTCAAAGCCTCCTTATGAAGGTTGCATTCATTTGTCTGTCAAGGAACTTTTGCAGATGAGCCTAACATGACGATGCTATCAATTTCAGCCTCCATCTCTCAAATACAGTCCCATGCTGAGCTAAACAGACCAATTTGGTTGTACAGCAAGTATTCACAGCTCCCTAAGGGATGATTTGTGACTTGTGATCACATCAAGAGTGTGATTTTGCAAGTTTCAGAAGGCTTTGTTTCCAATATGATTCAGCAGCGGAAAGAATGAAATTATAGCATGTTCAAATTTACTAAGATGGTATTGTATTCATATTTTTACCAGGAACAGAACAACTATGAAATTAGTTATGTTACTTAAGAGGGTCTAGACTTGTTTTCCGATAACACACTGTACTACAATTCCCATCAATCCTGACAAATTGTCATGCTAGTTGGACTGATGGGAGCTGGACTCCAACAACATCCTGAGGACTACAAATTCCTCATTTCTGATCTTTAGGATTTCCTGCTTTGGGGGCTCCAGAAAACACATTTAACATTCATTTTTTAAACTTTCTACAGGACATGAAGTGTATCCAATTATAAATAGGATTAATAAACATTGTATAACATCCATGCTTTGGTTACTATTTAGTGGTATCATAAATAATTCATTACTACTTAGATGCTAAAAGCACAACAATGTAATCAAGCAAAGATATTATAATAAGTTTAGAGAAAAAGCAAATGTTCTATCCAAGCTTGAGAAAAAATACACCCGTTCATACTTACTATAAATTTATATTATTATAAAGCAGTTTATTGTATGGGCATGCTAAGAAATGGAGTCAAGAAGCTGGCCAAAGTCACATTCAGAATTGCAAAGGTGAAGTTGTATTTGTTGAAAGAAAGAAAGAAAGAAAATGTATGAAACCATATCCAAGCACATGCACGGTAGTACACAGCAATAGTTTGCTATCTACTATCATTGCCTACAGTAAATGCTTAGCTCAGTGCTGAGTCAAAAGGTTGTGGGAACGCACAATAAAGCACTACAATGCTACTGGTAGTGTTTAAGCCAGATTCCTGACCCCAGCAGGATTGTTTTCCCAAAGCTATGTTGAGACTATGAATGCTTATGAGAGTGCCACACTGGAACAGTAGAATGAAAAACAAAATCATGCTCTCTTTCAAATAGACATTGGAAAGCATGGAAACAACAGCTTTGCACTGAAAACCTTGTGAGGATATGTGGATTTGGCAGATACTTGCTGCAGTAGTTTGTTTTTAATAGTTTGAATCAGCAATAAAAGATTCCTTGATTCCTACTTGTTCACGTCCCATTGTTGCATCAGTGAGAAGCAAAGATTTTGGCTGGCTAAGACCAAGTGGGATTTTGTGGCATCTCTTATAAGCTGCGATACAATAGGAGCTCTCACAGGGTAATAATCACATGCACATTCAACATCTGTGCCGTTCATAAGAGAAAGAGGGAAGCTTATAGAGTTAAGGAGAGAAATCCATCAAATAAAAACAAGCTAGGTGTTCTTAACGTACCATTGACTAAGCTGGCATTTGCATTATCTGTGGCATTTGCACCTGCTGCCCCATCTGTAGTTGAAGGAGGATGGAAGGAGGTATGGGAAGAATCTACTGAGTAATAATGCATAAAAAAAAGAATAAATCATAATAATATGAACAAATTCACATGACAGAAAGGATAACATTTATGGACTAATGTGGCTTCATTCCTCTCTCTCTCTCTCCAAAACAGAGTTGTTTTAAAGTAAGCAACATAATGTCTAAAAATGGATGTTATTACAAGAATGTCACAAGAGTGGGGAACAAAAACTCATACATGGAATATTATAAAAGTAAATATGAAAGACATTTAACAGAGTTAACAGAGTTGGTGAGAAACTGACTTTACATAGTACTTCTAACTCCTCTGCTCCTCCACGCAGACATTCTTAAGATGCCTCACTTTTTAAAAATAATAATAGGTTTTGATTTGAAGTGTAAGAAAAAAATAAAGTATTATTTAAGCACCTGCATTTCTCAGGACATCCATAAATAACTACAATATTACGTTTACTAGAACTAATATGCTTTATTTATCTATGCATCTAAAAGGTATTCTAGTTAAATCCTTCATTTGTTTTAAAAATAATAAGGCACATTTTCCAGTGTTACATTCAAAAGAGATTTTTGGAAACCCAAGAGTACAATCATGAGCCATATTTAGCTCTTTATTTTTGTTTGTGTGTGTGTGTGTGTATATATATATATATATATATATATATATATATATATTCCATTCAAGGTTTGCTAAGCAATTGTATTACCAATTCTGTTTTTCATTGTGCATTGAATGATGACAGAAAATCAAATCAAGTCAATCACAGTTCTAAAATGTCAGCAGTTTCCCTTTCAAACAAGGGGTGGCAGCGGGGAGTGGGGGGGGAGGAATAGGTCAGGCAAGAAGTTCCTTCACATCAAGAGGAAGCAAAAGTTCCCAGCAGATTTTGCATTGATTGGAATTTAGCTGTGCTAGAGCTGAGTGAATAATCTGCAGTGAATAAATGATCTGAAACTGTACAAATGTTTCCAGCAACAACTTTGGCTTCAAATATTCAGTGGTTCATTTTCAGTGTCACATAAATAATACCTTGGGCCAACATGCTATTTTGATAAATAAATTGTATGATCTTAGATTTGCTTTTCTAGTACTAGGTGTTTAAGGTTAAGATGGTACCATGGAACTCCAGAGGTCAACGAAGTCGGGCATGTGCTAGAATACACAACATGGCAGGAGGGTCATCATCAAGCAGAGCCCTCTAATTCCCATCTTAACATTTGGGGGGAACGACTACAAGTGTGGGGATGAGGCTCACTAGGAGCCTGGCTGCTTCCTTTTCTGGTCTGTCTGGATGTCCCCTTGTAGGGCTTGCGGAGGTCAGCCAGCCATATCATCAAGGCTTAACTGAGAACAAGTACTGCATCAGTGCTATAGCTTGGGGTCATCTAATAAAGTTGATTGACAAGAGATTAAAGGCCGACAAAAGGAAGTACTTCTTCATCCAGCACAGAGTTAATTTATGGAATCCACTGCCACAGCATATGGCGGCTCAACCACTAGCTTTAGATAGCTTTAAAATCCAAAGGGATCAACGATGGCTGCTAACCACAATGACTGTATGCTACCTCCAGGAGCAGAAACAGCATGCCTCTGAAATTATTGGGGACAACACTAGAAAGCTTTTGCCTTTTGCTCTGCTTAAGGAATCTGGCTGGCCACTGTGGGAAACAGGATGGTGGGTTAGATATGCATGTGGTCTAATCCATCAGGTCTTATTCTATGTTTATTTAGCTTTGTGTCTACCCTGTCCCTGCCCTAATAAGCCTAATGGTCCAATGAGACTCCAGGAGACAAAGTAGGCCCCAAGTTCAGTGGGGCTTCTTTGAACTCTTCAAGAGTTCCTCTGCCTGCCTAGCACTTCAGCCCGCCCACTGGAGTCAGACTTCTGGTTTACCCACTAGCTGAGCCATTTTGTATTACTGTAATATGTAAGTGAAAATTTAAAAATCATGGCTTCCATTTTTAAATGAGGTTTTAAAAGTCCATATTTTAAATGAACTTTTCTGAAGTAATTTGTTTAGGGAACAGCCACATAAAAATGCGTAAAAAGAACTCCAACTGAAATTTCCTTTTAGATTCCAATCATGTAGTGAAGACAAGTTTTCTTGACTATTCACTCAGGTCTTTTCCGCACCCTCATTTTTGGGAAAGTCCCAGTTAAAAGCCTCAGCCTTTCCTCTGATATGGTAGGTTTCTTACTCTACCTGGAAGCTGATGTCCATCCTCCTGTTTCACACCTGTATGATGATTTTTACAAAATGTTAATGAGGAAGAAATGCATACATCTAGAGAAATGCAAACACATCTGATTGGTAGGCTTTCAGAAAGCTGCAAGCATACATAACAATGGATGTATGTTTGAGCTTAGGAAATAGGGACATAATCTAATGAGCGCTGTTGCTGTACAAACACTGCTCATTTCAGTGGGGCTCATGCCAGACTCATCCACAAGCTCTGTTTAAATAAAGAGTGTGTTCACAGGAACAGTGCTTGGAAGACTGACATTCCATGCAGCCTGATCATTGCATCACTGGAGGCTTACTTGAATGACTGAAGAATGAGTCTTGAAAGCATTTTGTTAGGTGTTTTATTGGATGTGTAATGATGTTTTATGGAAGTTATATGACAAATATGACCCTCTTTTTTCACCTATCCCTCAGTTGGTGGCGTAGACTGACAGATTGTCTCTTTTAAAAAATTAAAATACAAGACAAGGAAGAATAAACACTAAATGAAGAAAGAGGAAACACTGGGGAGAATTACACAGGATCTTGTCACAGAAAAGCAGGCCCAGACTGTAGACTGTGGCAGCCTATGTGAAAATTACTAGTGTGTCTTACACCATTCTTGCTTAAAATATATTAGCTATAAAGCCCTCAATCACTAGCCATTGTTTTCTGAGAAAACACATTTTAATCCCCATTTATCATGTTAGCTTTACATGTAATGTAACACTATTAGTCTACATAGGGATAATGTATACTGCGTAAACCTAGAGTTTAGTGTATACTGTAAATGTAGGGAATACAGCAAAAAAAAATATTCTGTACACCAAATACAACTGCCTACACTTTCTTGGCAATTGTATTTCACTTTGTCCTAGTTTAGACTGATCTAGTCTAATACTAAACAAATGAACTCTAGAAGTACCCCTACCTTACAGACATACTGAAATCAATAGGATTTATTATCATTCCTTTCATACTAAAGCTTCTGATATACCTTTGGGGAGGGGGGAAAATGTCCTTTCTGATTTAGGAGTGTAAGAAAACCATGTTCATGAAGAAGATTGCACACATTCAATATATTTCCCTTATTTTTATTTGCACTCACGTAAGACTATAACATGACCTGCAATGGTGCAAAGGGTAACTGTTACAGACGTGGTCAACTTTGCTCTGGATCATAACCACATGGACTGCAGTTTAACTAGATATAAGACCATCTGGCAAAAGTATAAGGACTCTGGGCACACATTATTTTTGTGAAAAGGTAAGTGTGTACAAATTTATCAAAAATGTGCTTGTTAACCATTCCTATATCAATGATGCATGGTTTGATAAAAGAAAGGAAGAAATTGTTTAAATAAGGAATACAGGAATTGAATTGAATTGAATAATCAATAATCAATCAGTTGCAGTGAAGATTTATGGGGAAAAGAAACTTGAACAGATCCCTATTATTATTTTAGCTTTCATTTTCATTAAGGCTGCCTGAATCTGGAAATTGAAGAGTGATCTTCACATAACTTCCCATGAAACATAAGTGGCTTTCTTTCCAAGAAATAGTCTACAAAGGAGACCATCTCAGTTCAGCCTACTTATAGGCATGGGTTGGCTCAAAATACTCTGTTATGTTAATGGAATGGGCTTCCATTCATGAGAAGAGAGTTCTGCTCATGGAAGCGCCCCTTCTATAAGTGGAAACGTCTTCTATCCAGAGAATAGACTGTTTAGATCCAACATTTCGATTGTGCTTAGAAAGATAAGTCCCCATCTACTACAAAAGTAGAAGGCACTATATAAATAATCGGAATGGTACCAGTTACTAAATTAACAAAAGCTGGATGAATGTTAGTTGTATGCTAACATCAAGTAAAATATGAACTGTGCACGATAAAATATGGCACAATTTAAAATTCTGACATTAAATTGAAAACATAAAATCCAAGACTACAACAATTTCAGTTAGATCTCAAATGTGAGGATAGAAATTATAAAAGTAGTAATTTGCTTCTTTTTTAACAGCAGCACTCAATTATGTTTGTTTAAATCTCTGTTTGTTATGACTTTGGGATATATAACACAAAACTCAGCTTGAGAATGTGTGGAACGTAAGTGAGCCCGGAACTTCTTTTTTTACTTTTCCCTTCTCACATTTTACATAGAAAATGTATGATGTTCAAAATAATACTTTGGTACACATCTAGCATGTGAAAGTTGTGAGTGTCATAGGTCCTGCCCCCCAAAATGATGGGACTGAATCAGAAATAAATGCTGTGTAGTTAGTTTGTGTATCAGTTTTATGTAATAAAAACAGACATTGAGGAAATTTGATGTGATCAAATTTGCACCTTTCTTATCTTTCTTCTCCTCGTCTTCACCAGCGCCTAGCAGAGTAAAGATGATCCCTGTTTGAGAATTAACTCCTACAGCAGTAACAACCATTCTTCCAGAACCTTCCATGACATGTGTACCTAAAAAAATTAAAATATAGATATTAATACTTTCTGCTTTGGGAGGTAATGCTGCACAATATACTATGATACTTTACCAAAAAAACACACAAAAAACCAACCTTGTCCCTGTGATATGATCAGGTTTCAATCTAAGGTCACAATGCAATCCAGAATCAATTTTGTTTAAGACCAGAGAAGTCAATGAGCTTTAAACATTCTCCATTCTGTGGTGGAGTGTGACCTAAAGTTTCATCTTAAGAGCTGGCGCAGTGGCTAAAATGAACCCAGGAAGTAGCCAAGTAACAACCTCTCACCCACAGTCCCACATTTGCAATATGAAGGTAATGATTACAGGGCTATTAGACAAGTGTTATACAAGTCCAAGTAAGTCCAAGATAAAAGAGTGAATGAAAATGTAAGATCAGCAAAACCAGAACATTTCATCTAACACTAAAGCATTGTCTTCGTAGGAGAGAAGAAGGAATCAAAGCAACTGACTGGAACTGACATCCCATGCTGCACTGTGAGGGCAGTTTTCTTGTCCCTTCAGCAAAGTGCAGGAACAGCATTACCAAATTGCCTTGCCCAAGCACAGATATGTTCACTGACTTGACAGAGTGTATTAGAAGACGTAATGGAATTGCCTTCACAGTGCAGTCCAGGAAGACAGGGAGCGTTATCTGGTAGCCTTGACGATGAGGTGGGGGGAAGGGTGCATCTCTTCGTGGACATCACTGCAAGACCAGTTTTATCACATCTCACAGCAGGGCGAGACAGAGAGGATCACCCAGACAGATGCCTTGGCAATGTTGGGAACTGTTTCCTTCCCTGGCTGTCACACAATCTGTGCTTGGGGCTTATCCATTCCCCTGGGGAACCCCAGTCTTAACGCTGAATCTGAACAAAAAGCAGTCGGGTTTTCTGCAGATTGCCATTTGTTCCAATTTAGCACCGAAGAATGGGTTTTCTGGGGGAAAGTGGCAGGACAAAGGCTTGGACCTGTGCCTAGAAAGTGTGGGACAAGCTGAAAACCGCTTAAACCCATGCTTGCTAGGCACAGGGCAAGCAGAAGTGTGGATGAGCCTATACTTTCATTGGAGTAAAAAACATTTTGCAAAAAAGGGATCCTCTGTTTTCACTCAGAATTTTTTTCCTAGTCCCAAGGATCAGTATCAGCTCACATCTATATCCATCAGATTGTGCAATTCTGGCTATAATCCAGTAGACTCCCACCTAAAAGCAAATCCCTCTGAACTGAGTAAGACTTATTTCTTAGTAAATCCATTGGACCTGTCTGAGTAGCGCACTTTTTCATTGCAATTTTCTACCCCTTGTTTAGAAGGGATGCGGGTGGTGCTGTGGGTAAAAGCCTCAGTGCCTAGGGCTTGCCGATCGAAAGGTCGGCGGTTCGAATCCCCGCGGCGGGGTGCGCTCCCGTTGTTCAGTCCCAGCGCCTGCCAACCTAGCAGTTCGAAAGCACCCCCGGGTGCAAGTAGATAAATAGGGACCGCTTACTAGCGGGAAGGTAAACAGTGTTCCGTGTGCGGCTCTGGCTCGCCAGAGCAGCGATGTCACGCTGGCCACATGACCCGGAAGTGTCTCCGGACAGCGCTGGCCCCCGGCCTATAGAGTGAGATGGGCGCACAACCCTAGAGTCTGTCAAGACTGGCCCGTACGGGCAGGGGTACCTTTACCTTTTACCCCTTGTTTAATTTAAGCTAATGGCAAAGCTTTTGTACTGACTGTGTTTTTCAAAAGATATTGAGATGTTTTCTGATATTATCTCCTGCCTTAAAGCATGCGTAGGTAATTTCAGATATAGTATGCAATTTAAACGGCACTAAAGTGGGCTGTACATTTTTAATGGATATAATTCATTAATATTGCATCGGGCCTGCGAATTCAATTTCTTTTACTTCTGTTCATTAAAAGCTACTCCACTGCACTGAGACATGGGATGTTAGTCTGAACCAGAGGGTCTAATACCAAGGCTTGGTTCCTGAGGCTCCCAGCTGCTCCTTCAAACCATCCTGTACTTGATTCTACAACTGAACCATCCCCCAGTGTGTTTCCACAATATACCTCCCTCATGTAAAATCTGAATATTATTCTTACAAACCTTTAAAGGAATGCATAATATAAACTGTGTTCTTTACTGCAGTGGAGGACGGGGCGGACTTTTTATAATCAAACTTTTTAAAATACAAATTTTGGTTGCACATGCAAGAGCTTAGCTTTTGTTGTATGGCACACTCTTCCTGATAGGTTCAGGTGTGTTACTCAGTTCTCTCTAACTTGTCTACAGTTCTCTTTTCTCTTTAACTTTGATACTGTCCAAAAATGTTAGGGAATGAGCTTTCCCCATCCGTCTGCTATTGTCATCTTGTATTTCTCACTATAAATACAGTTCTCACTTCTGTCAATTATGCATAATTTAATTGCTTCCCCTTATCATTGCTGCTCCTATCTAAAAATCACCCTTTGGGCCCTTTTCCTAGTATGTCACATTTATAATTTCATTACCATACAAAACTCAGTGAAGAAAAAAGGGGGTTCTTTGTCTTTGCTTTCAGACATATGGTGCCACGGATACTTTTCATGATGGCTTTTTATGTCGCTGTTATCATCCAATCTTAAAAAACTGAAATGCAATCTGATTCTTCCGATAGCTTCTCTCAAACACCTGGGCAGCCATTATATCTTTGAAGCTAATACTTGCTTGAATTCATCCACACATTTTATGTATATTCATGGTGGTTTCATTGCATTAATTTATTTCATTTCCATAACTGAATAAGTATATCCTTATTTTTGTAAGTAGAAAATCTATTTCCACATGCTATAGTGTTGTTGTTTTTTTATTTCACCTTTTGCATTAACTATTTTTCTCTCTCTCTCTCTCTCTCTCTCTCTCTCTCTCTCTCTCTGTGTCTTCAACCTGTGAGCCCTGATTTTCCAGTAAAGGGTCCTAATCCCAGATCAAGCACTGCTGTGCATCACAAGTCTTTTTGCAATTCTTGTAGGGCATACAATAAACCACCACTGACACTGGCAGAGAGAAGAAGACGGGCAGAGACTTCATCAGACATCAGCTCCTGTCTCAGCTGGACTGTCCCTTCCCAGGACCATCTAAGACCAACTGTTTTGTGTGATGACTATGTTTCACACTATTGCACACCTGCTTCTGGTTTAGCTGGATTGTTTTTGTTTAAAGTTAGGTTCCTATTGGGATATAAAACTACTAAATTAAACAAAACAAAAACAAAAATGCATCTCACATTTAGCTTATAGTGAGCCTAAAAGAGAAGGGAAAACCACAATCTTCAGGGCCGGCACTGGCATTAGGTGGGATGAGGCTTCTGCCTCCAGCAGAGGAAGCCCCTGAGGCTGCACCCCTGCAGGTGCTCCACCTGCTCTGCTGCATCCACCAGTGACAAAAAAAAGTGGCACCAACATCAGTGACGATTTCAGGTGAGATCTCAATGAATTTGGCCAAGGTCTTGCTGAAATTACCAAGACCTTACCCAAAATGCTCTCTGCCAAAGGCAGCGGCAGAGCAGGCAGTAATAATAATTTAATAATAATAATTTATCATTTATACCCCACCCATCTGGCTGAGTTTCCCCAGCCACTCAGTATAGATGGCAGTGGCAGGAGCAGGTATGTCTGCAGCATCAGACACGGTGGCACTTCCTGTTCTGCCCTGAGTGGCAAAGGGGAAAGCGCTGCCCTGACAACCTCTATAACAAAACTTGCAAAAAATGGAGAGGTTAGGAGTGTGTAAATGGAAAAAAAGATAAACCTTTGTTATTCCTGTGGAACTAAAACTTGCCACGATAGTATGCAAACACAGATGTTCTACCTGCAGATATAAGCAGGTTGTGGTTCAGTTATGCAAATGAAAGAAATAAGTAACCTTGTCAATGCAATGAAGCAGCTGAAAAAAAACATTCAAAAGTGAGGACAAATTCAAGCAAACATCTGCGTGTTCAGTGAAATCAAAAGAGCACAGGGCCTCTTAGGTTGGAAGCTTGCTCTTTCTGTTTAGCAAGAAACCCGTACTGGAACATTTACTGCCAGAGAACCAAGAGTGAATTTGAGTTGTTTTTCTCCAGGCAGTGACTGACCTGATTCCTTAATATAGCTGCATTTATTTATTTATTTAGAAACTAATAAAGCACAATGACCACCAGCATTTCTTTGCTTCTCAACGAACTAATATCTATTTATTTCAGGTTTTTCATACTCATGCTATATTCTGGTGTGCATTCACTATATAACTCCTAAGTTGTCTTAAAACAAAGTGACCAGCTTGCCATTTCTGAGACCAGAACTATGCATTTGGTTGCCAAAGCAGAAGAATGCTGGAATGGAGCAATTTACAAGACAGAGGCAGTAGACAGGAGGTGCCCGTGACCCTTATCTCTGCTTGACACTCCCCCCATACACACACACCGCAACGCCTCCCAGCTGCATGTGCAGTTTAAAATTGATTAAATGCATCATGTGTGCGTGCTTTTCGTGTCATCTGCATAGCACTGTCCTCATCCAAGTGGTAACTCACACTTCCCCCCGTTTAATGCGAATTTTCCCAGTGTGTGGATAACGCAGAAAAGAAAAAAAGGATCCAACATAAAATTGCCTGTCACCCCATTGTGGACATACTCAAGTGCATTTAGTGTTGGTAGTTGGGTTTTGTTGCTGCTGCTGCTGTGTGGGTGCCATCTATCATCATGTCCCTACTTCCATTAGTTGGGTGGCCCTCAGTGCACTGCTGCTGGGGCCAGGAGCAACACACGTGTGTTTTTAATGTATTAATACACTGTTTTGTGGAAGCAGGGTATATCAGAAAACTTGTATCTCTCTCTTTTTTTAAAAAAAGTGGTCACATACACAGGTAAGCAAATTCCCGTGTGCATACCCACAAGGCACCTCAAGTTCCCAGAACTAAAGAGAGTGGGAAAGTACTAATTGAGGGGAAGGGGTAACAACAAACAGTGAAAATGCATCCAATCAAG